GGGGGGGGGGGGGGGGGGGGGGGGGGGGGGGGGAGTGTTGGAGGCATTCTTGCGGATAGCGCAACCTGTGGTCGTACGATTCATTTTGTGATTCTGTATGGTTACTTACAAGGCTCCCAAGGCGAATGGGGTGTGTGGCTCCGGGTATTCATTTAAACAGCCGGTGATAGGGATTTTGACGGGCGAGTCTCTTTTATAATGCTAGTAGCAACTCTTGACGAGAAGTCAAAGCAGACGACTGTCTGAGAGGTATCTCTCCAGAGCTTAGTATGATCTGGTAGCCCCTGCATACAGAACCGGAAAACATATAGATAGCGTCTTTTCAGCTATAATCAGGAAGCTGCGAAAAATATCGCATTAATAAAATCTATTCAAAGGTCCTAAGAAGGTCAACTACATTGAAAATTCCCTGGTAGAACACATTTGGATAAAATATTGTGCATTTCCGAGATCATTTCTGTATAACCGCTTAGTCGCATCGTGTGCTCTCTAGCTCAGCATCAAAAACGTTTGTCGGTCCCTTCACGCGCGCGCAATATCCCACCTGCCTTGTCTCTCTATTGTCAAGCATGCTCGTCTTTCCCATCTACCCAGTCCATGCATTGACCCGTCATAATCATCCGATGCGATAAGCAGTCTATGCACGATGGATATCTCGGACCCGCACGTAAGTACCGACGTGCCCTAACACCCAAACAAAGACTAACAAATATCTGCCAGCGCGGTATGACAGCCTATGCAGTCCGCAGAATCCGCAGAGGCAGCCACCCCGATCCGAACGAACGCATCCCACCCGGCGTGGAAGAAGTGATCTCCCGCGGCTCCTGCCACATCGGCAGACTGAACGACACAATGGTCCTCAAGTACGCCTCTGACTTCAACGACCCGAGCTACCTAATGAGCATCAAAGTCGAGAACCGCATCCTGCAAATCCTAGGCCCGCACCCCCGAATCATCGAATCCAAGGGCCTGGCCGAAGATGGTCTCATGCTGAAATACTATCCCAACGGCACGCTCCGCAATTACATCAAGAGCCACCCGCACGAGACGCTCGAACGCCGCCTGGAATGGTGCAAGCAGCTTGTCGACACACTGTCGTACGTGCACTCCAAGCGCGTCATCCACTGCGATATTTGTCTGCACAACCTCCTCCTCGACGAGAACTTCAATATCATCCTCGCTGACTTCCAGGGTATGGTCATATCGAGCGCTAACGGTATGACCATGCTCGATGGATTGACGCGCGAGTGTGCCAAGTCGTACATGCCCAGGGAGAATCTCTGTTCTGCGAATGTTCGGACTGATCTCTTTGCTGTGGGATCGGCGATCTATCATCTTATTGCTGGTCATGAGGTTTTTCCTGAGTTGGATAGCTTTGACGATGAGAAGGTCATCAACGCCCGGTTCATCAATGGGGAGTTTCCTAAGAATGACTATGTGGCTAGTCATATTGTGGAGAAGTGCTGGCGAGGGGAGTATGCCTCCGCTGCTGAGATTTCGGTTGATATTGCTGAGGTTCAGGCTGCTACGAAGGCTGTTGATGAGGCGTTGAAGCAGCTGGATGTGGAGGAGTCCGAGGACGACGAAGATTACGAAGAGTACGAAGGTGAGGAAGAGGACGGAGAGGACGAAGACGAGAAGGTGTTGTAAGCTTTGAGTGCGCACGGCTCGGGGGTACATCGCTGGAGAGACTCGTTCCAGAAGGACTGACTTGAGGTCTTCAAGGATATCATGTATTCCTATTCTCTATGGAGTTGGCACATCACATCTAGCAAAAATTAATAACAGCCTCTCCAACATCAATATGATCATGGCTCATGTTCAGCAAACTTTCGGCAGATGTCTATGACTCGGTGGGAAACTTTATGGCAAAGATAGGCAGTCTATGCCTGCTTCGTCCAGCGGTGACTCTCATCACCCTCTTCCCACTCGTGCTCAACGTAGCCCAACCTTTTCTTGACTTCCTGGACCTTGGCAGAGTCACCCATGTTCTTGCCCATATTGTCGCTAAGCTTGACACCGGGCCTGCCGTTCGCAGTGGCGATCTTGATAACGATGTTGAGGGGCTTGGATTTTTGTCCGGTTGATTTGCTGATAAAATCATCTGGGAATTTGTCAGCTTTTGATTTCTGTGTTGCGGAATTGCAAATTCAAACTTACTGGTAAAGAATGTTCCCACTCCAAATGTAGGCTTGAAGCCTGCTTCTTCGGCAATTGTTTTGTACTCCAGGCAGTGATCGATATCCAGCGAATCGGAGAACACTATTGTCTTGGTTTCGGTAATACCCTGGCTGTCGTAGAAGTCCCGGAGCATCTTGACGAAGAACGTTGGGTCACCCGAATCTTGGCGGACACCGGCATAGCTCTGAGCATAGGTTATTGTGTTCGTGTTAACATCGCCCTTTTGGTTTGGTGCTGAAATAGGCTTTCTGAACGCATCTAGGAATGCCGGCGTGCCAAAGGTGTCAGTGAGAGCAATTCCAAGAACCTGTGTTTCTCTAGTTAGTCTGCGGCCGTTCAAAATGCGGGTAACTTGAAGATTATATACCCCTTCTCCGAAACAGCCGAGCCAGTAACTCAATGCCAAGTCATTGGCATTTTCGTAGTCGTCCGTGATAGCAGCAATGGTCATGTACCATTCGTGTGCCACGGTACCGACGGCACCCGTATTGTATTTCATAGCAAAGTGCACATTGCTAGTCCCGATCATCACACCAGGCCAGCTCTGCTTCTTTCCCTCCTCTGCCGCACGGGTGAGTCCCTTCATAACCAGGTCCTGGGTATGGTAGTCCCGGCGACGGCGCGAGCCGAATTCAGAGAACGCGCAGCCATTCTGTAGCAAAGTGCAACCCTTCCGGTATGCCTTCTCTTCCTGGTTTGCATAGTCCCAGTCCTTGTCGGTGAACATGAAATACGCCTGGCTGGTCAGTGCCAGCAGTGGGATTTCATACAAGATCGTGTCGAGCCAGAGACCATCGACAATGTACTCCACGTTGCCTTCATCGTCATCGCTGCCCGTATCTTGTTCCGGAACGAACTTGATCTTGATATGCTCGGAGGGCCTGAGGTGGAAGGTATCTAGGAAGGTGAGGTATTCGTCGTTGAGGTAGGGGCACTTTTGGCGGAGCCAATCACGCTCTTCGGCAGTGACGCGAATTACGGCCAGTTCTAGACGCGCATTGGTTAGAAGCTGTATCATTGGTAACAAGAAGAGATGCCCTTACTGTCCATCTGCTCTAAAAGCCATTTGTATGCCCCGCGATGCAATTTCATATGCGGGGTGCGGTTCGTGTAGCCGTAGGTCACGCCTGCGCCCAGATCAGCCCCAGATGCCCCCCCATTCCGGATCCCCCGTTCCTCGGTAAGAGCTACTCACGAACATCTGGGAAGTATTTGAGGACCGCGCATTGCATCGTCAGCTTGTACAGATCCGTGTCCAGAAGGGATGTGATGCCCTGTGGCGGGGACATGTCTTTGCCCATCTTGTTGGTTAACCGGAGGTTCCGGTCTATGGGTGGTGAGTCAATTGAAAGGTGTGGATCGTGAGAAGTTGCAGCGAAAGCTGGACAGATAAATAGGCGGAAATAGCCGAGTTTTTGCGGTTTCTTTTCTTTTTCCTTTATTTGCAATCCATTTCCAGCGGGGAAACGCGCCGATATGCCGATTAACTGTTTGCTCTGTTTGCACCCTTTCTGCATCACCATTTCTTTCACTTACTTCATTTTATCATGTCTTTCTTTCAATTGGCTTCTCCTGGTTGCCTTGCTCATTTTGTACTAGCCTTCCATCAATAAGACTGTGTTACCATTTCTCGCAGTACCTACATTGTGCAGGACTTTGACGATGCTCACCAAGGATATCTACCACTTCTACATGTGTGTGAAGATATGCACCAGCAAAACCGGGAAAATACATTTACTCAAGATACATGACTTAGCATTTTGGGGGATAATTAGCTCCATATGATCTATGCATCAACTCCCCACGGAGTGGGATAATATCCCTAGGGACCTTTGCGCAACATGTCAAGGAATTTGACTTCGTTTAGAACTAGCGTCAACTCTTGCGTCATGGAAGGTTTACGGGGGCAAAGAGACACTGTCTTTCGGGCATGGCTATCATATTTACCTTGATGGTTTGTGCTAACTGTGTATGCCTAGTATGGTACCAGAGCACAGGTTACTTCCAGGATTTCTTTACGCTCTGTGAGAAAGGCAAATGCTCTCCGACTTTGGGTGCTTCGAAAGAAATTCCATTGAATTTGACAACACTACTCTCTTCAAGAAGTCGCAATGAAAAGTTAGAAAAAATATGAAATTTTACTCGAGCTTTGTGCGAATGGAATTGACGCTGTATTCATCTCGCATGCCACTTCACTTCGAGTCTCAGCACCCATACCGCTCCATGATGGCCTTGAATGAAGTATCTCGCAAAAGCTTTTTTGGGTCAGCCGTTTTTCTGATAGATAAAGACTTTCGACATAACAGATTGCACATGTTGCCGCTCGACCAGATCGGCATCGGGACGGAAGTATGCAATTTTCGCAGCAAGGTCATTTTCTGGATCAGGAGATTGAGACTGATCATACGATGAGTCAAGTCCACCGGGGTGTGTGTAGAGACCTTCCCGCTGCTCAGGTATCGGCCTAGGCATTCAACCATAGCACTCACAACTCCACCATTGATAAATGTGGGAAACGGAGGACATGTAAGGTAGAGCATAGAGAAAACAGCCATGTAGCTCCACATATAGCAGGCAAAACTTGGCTCTTGATTATGTAGTCGATCTGGAGAGCAATAATGCATAGGTGGGTAGCCGCGTTGAGTGTCGAGGTCGCTAATTTTTTTTGCGAAACCAAAGTCACTGAGATAGAATTCGTCCGTGCGAAGGGTGTCAGGAACTTTTATAGGGCTCACCAGCTCGCCCCTTCTCCAGAGATCGACGAATGGTATTGTCTGCTTCAAAGGCCGACCGAGTAACTCATACGTGGCGCTTCTGCTGAAACCATCGATAGGAGTCATTCCCCACATACAGTTCCTTGCATTCAAATCTATAGCATTTTCTTAGTATATGAGAAAACGAAATAAGAGAACGTCGACTCACCACGATGTATGATCCCAGCCTCATGTAAACTTGCCACAGTCTCTAGTAATTGTCGAACGGCAGACATGCGAGAGGCCACAGGAGTCCTTTTTAAGGTACGAGTGCAGATGGATGGCCCTTTCATAGGGAACACCAAGACCCTATAGTAACTTTTATCGTCTCGGGGTAGAAAGAAAGTCGCAGTATATATAATTAGGCGAGAAGTATCATATACCGTTTTAATAATCTCATCCTAGATTCAAGTTTCGTTATCGCCCCATTCCCCTAGGGCCATGACTTTTTAAGGGCCACGTCTCTCTTGTCATGCAGGTCAAATGCATCCAGACAGTTGAGCCCCCACCAGAGCCGAGTTTATGTTTAACCAGGTACCTCTCGTTGAGCACTTCCCAAGGCGAATGGGATAGAGGACATATTGGTTATCCTCTGTTCTGTACCCATGCCATGCCTCAACAAGCTCTTGAAGATCACCTTCCTCTGCTTCATTCTTCACGAAGTCACCGAAATCCGTCGTGTTTCCAGGGGATGCTTCGGTGAAGGCTTCAGGAGATGATTCAGTGTTCGCCATTTCAGATGAATGTATGTCGATGGCGGAGTGGATGGATGAGAAGATTTGGTAGGTCAGGCGGAGGGATATAGTGCCATCTGTCACACCGCCCGGTCCTGGATATGCAATGATCAACTTCATGCGGCCCCAAGCCCCCTCTTTATCTGGTTGAGATGGGGCATCTCTAGATACAAAATTATCATACTAAGGTATCTCACTCCGCAAATATCGGAGCGTGATGACCGAGTGGAGCAGTCCCGGGGTCAACCATGGAATGGAATGGATTTACCCGAATAAGGAACCGAGATTGGCCTAGTGTCCTTATTTGGTATGTCTGGCTGGCCATCCCCCCGCAACCAACCCATTACTGTAGTCCATTGAAATGAACGGATAGAAAATGTAATTTGGAAGACTTGGGGTCGATATATACCCGACCATCTTATAGACCGAAATCTACTAAAATCACATCAACGGGCATCTCCCTGTTTTCAACAGCTTATCACTATCCATCAAATCTCAATTTTCCCTTGTTTATATACTGAAACAATGCCTGATTTGACTGGTGTTTCGTTCAAGGGCAAAACCGCCATTGCCAATGGGACATCCAGGTACTCCCTCCGTGCTTATATTATATGAACTTAGCCCAATGATTCCCTGTGTTATAGGGGAATTGCCGCCGGCATTGCCATCCTGCCCGCTAAGCGCGGTGCCAATGTTTTCAACCACGTCTGCGAGGGAGTGAAGAAGAGAGCCCAACAGATTGTTGATCAAATTCACCAGATCGGGACAAAAGCCGTCCAGTGCCAAGCTAGTGTCATGAAGCTTGATGAGATCCCCATTCTGATTGAGGCGGCCTTGCAAATTAGTGGCACTGGAAAAATCGTGATTTTGATTCACAATTGAGTTGACCTGCGTCGAGATCCAAAACTAAGACATCTGCTAAAACAAATATAGTGCCGCTCTCGGTCTAGAGGCATAGTTGGTAGACACTTCACTTCAGTTCTATACTACTCATTTCGATTGCATTGTGCGAGGTCCACTTTGCCTGACGAAGGAGACTCTTCCGCATTTACCACGCGGGGTTCGCATCGTTTTCCTTTCTTTGGCTGCCGCTTGTCTAGGTATTGCCGGACACACAGTGTATGGCCCCACAAGGCAGCTAACGAGGCCTTGGTCCGCGTGTGGGCAAAGGAGCTGGGTCACTCTCACGAAATTACCGTCCACTGTGTCAACCCAGGCCCTGTTGACGTATAATGCCCCATTTCCGTGGCTCGACTAAAACTTGTGATAGACTAATGGTTCCAGGGCAATGAACAATTCCTGAAGGATATGCAGCCTTTGATTGAAACACCAGCAGTTCTAGAGTTGATTAAGTTGATGATACTGCCACTCTGGTTGCCTTCCTTTGTAGTGAGGATGTCAAGTGGACAACCGGGTCTTGTCTATGGGCCAATGGTGGTCTTTACAACTAGGCATATATGGATACAATACTCAGAAAGTCGGTATGAACACTTGAAGATCAGAGAGAAATATCCTCATGGTACTTAGAGTTTATATGTTTTCAAAGTATAAGAAACTGCAAACTCAGAACCGCGATTACTTTATAGCTCCCAACTTTTTCGTTGATAAGAAAGGAAATAAATTGACAATACCAAGAATCACTTCTTCTTACTTAGGATCAGGAACGGGATTAGAGTCAGATAACAGATAATCTAGCTATAACTTCCCTTACATGGTAAAGCATAAAATATGATTTAGTCTAGTTAATGTGCATATCCAGCCCGGATACTCGGCCCTTCGCTTTTCCCTCTAACCTAACCCCTTTTGGCCTAACACCCCATACAACCCATGCAAAGCGCAGGGTATATAAGCGAAGAGAGGACCCCGCCGACTCCCTCCTCCCTTCCACTCTATCCTTCTTTTTTTCCCACATCAAACATCAACATGGCAACCGATCCGTATCTCCATCTGTTGGAAGTGCTTTCGACCTTTAACACCACTGATAAATATCAACCATTTGAAGTGATCAAGACGACTTACAAAAGCGTCAATGAAGGTCCTGACATCAATGCCGACATCCTCATCCCTCGGGCTATACTGTCAAAGGAAGAACCCGCGAAATGTGCAGTCATGATACGGATCCACGGCGGATTTTTGGTATGAGCTACTTTTCGCTAAGCGCAGACTACGTTACAATCCTTCGGTCCTGAATTAACTCAACTAACTCACGTATAGGTTACAGGTTCCAGTAGCTATCCTGTTTGGTTCGCGAATTGGACATTGGAGTACGCCATGTCAACAGGGGCAATTATCGTGGCCCCAGACTACCGTTTGCTGCCCGAAGTATCCGGAAAAGAGATATTGGAAGACATGCATGATTTTTGGCATTGGGTGCACAGCCCACAATTTGTTGAAGTAATTAATGCCGCTAGTGGCGGTTATATTCTTCCTGACCTTAACAGGGTCCTCGTGGTGGGGGAAAGCGCAGGTAAGTCTGGTGTGGCGGAATCTAACATGGCGAACAAGTTTAACTGGAATACAAGGGGGCTATCTGGCTATACAACTGGCACTGAGTTACCCATCGGAAATTTGTGCTGTAATTGCAGCCTATCCAGTTCTGGATTTGGAATCAAGGTTCTACACAGAGGCATATTCTAAACCTATCCTTGGAGTGCCCAATATACCGAATGAAATTATTGAAGAGCATATTTCAGCCTCATCTGCTGTGGTTACTGCTGCAGATCCGCCAGATCGTCTCGAACTGGCATTCTCGGTATTCCAAAACGGTCGGTTGCTAGAGTTCCTCGGGTCAGAAGACTATCTCTTCCCAATGAACAGGGTTAAAACTCTCGCTTCCACCGGAACTCTGAAGCTGCCCCCAAGTTTCATTTTCCATGGAAAGCAGGACTCGGCCGTGCCGTTCGAGGGATCTCAGAGGTTCTTCAATTTAGTGCGAGAACAAGCACCCGATGCAATCATTAAGTTTCACGGCCGAGATGGTGATCATGGGTTTGACTTTGCGGCGACGTTGGAAACGGATTGGTTGAAAGAGGGATTGGAGGTCATCTCAAAAGCTTGGCTCGGAAACAGCGCACTCTAATCCGTGAGGATTATGTGACTACAGGTCAGGGTGTTCCTACTCCGACCTCAGTGGGATTATAAGCCGTCAAGATACAATCGATACCTTAAATTTTACCTTACCTACCAGCTGCCTATATAACCCGTCGGGGCTTTATACTTACAAGGAGCTTTTAGTTGGCATACACAAAAGAATTCAGAATTTCATACCATGAGTTACCTCTAATCAATGCAAAAGAGTACAAAAAATTGTGCATCATCCGTGAATCGAACACGGGCCTCGTCGATGGCAACGACGAATTCTACCACTAGACCAATGATGCTACTTAGGTGTAATATGTACTGCTGTTAGTTTACTTTACGCCAATCTGTTTCCATAGACTGTTTCCAAGGTTGGATTGTGTCGTCTGAGTAAAATTTCAATAGTTTATTTCTTCATGTTTTGAGAACTCCAATTAATGCTCCTATTTTACGTCTTTCGCCTACAATACTAGATGACGAAGAGGGAACAAAAGCAGAAAGCATCAAGCATTTACAAGGAATTAAAAGAACATAGATGTATGCTATATACTCCACCCCCGAGCAACCTTCCAACGCACCGGACCTAAGTACATCTGTCAGCACGTACCCATCCAAGTTAATGTAGGGCTGGGCCGACATGATCGACCATGGTCGACATAATCGAGACGTGCACATCCTGACCACCACCTACACAACTCTCATATGACTTTCTTCTTCAGGTCAACTCGGTCATAACCTTAACGACTGTGTATTGGTGTTTTTGCGATAAATACATTGTCCAAGTGAGTGCTCGGTTGAGCTTGATTGCAAAGTACAAAATGAAAGCTATGATGTCCCTTTCGGTGTCCGGCCGCTTTCGCCTAGCCGAAGAGGCTCGAGGAGGACGTATTGATACGTTTGAACAGAGCTCTGCCTCGAAGGCTAAAGGCAAGGCCAGAGGCAAGGCTAAGCGTCCAGCCAATTCACCCTCAAGCTCGGTGAGACCACAAAAGTACCATGGAAGCAGGGCCTGAGCTAACCATAGTCAGGGCACTCCCGATGACAAACGCCAACGTACTTCTCTCACTCGGCAACAAAAGACTGTCGATGCTCTCCCCGTCGATCTCCACCGTGGCAAATGCTTGAAGACAGAGGGGCGGGAAACCAACACACACAGTATGACTAGTGCAGGTTTTTCTTTTATTGGCCCAGCCGACATGCAGGTGTATGCCATGGAACTGTGTGCGAATAGGTTAGCGATGTGCCCATTGTGACTCCCTTCAAATAGGATAGCAAAAGATTGGTAGTTGTTTTAATTGCTTACGATATCCAGGTTGATACCTGCCAGAGTGTTGTTACTTGGGACATATACATCCATTGGCGAGACATTTGGGCAAATTCATCTGAGCGCTGTGGTCTTGCTCGTCTTTCAAACACCCGATGACCGTAATAATAGAGGCATGATTGCGCTGTCGCGCTGCTTAAACTGTAAACGATGTAGAGGAAGTTCGCATGGTTCTCGCTTCTGGTGCGGTATAGTCTATGGACTCTGGCGAAACACGATGTGGCAGTGAGAGCTAACAAGAGACTGAAGAGTCCATACGCTTGTTAGAGAGTTAAAAAAAAAACAAAAAACAAATGTATAATCGGAAAGGAGTATTTACCCACACAACAAAGTTCACGTCGTCGGATTAAATCGAAATATTCCCACATGCGTGACTGGAGCTTCAAAGAAGAAGGCAGGCAGGAAATAAAAGAGTCCAGTCCGGCTGTAACATCTGGGTTTCAAAGGATCTATGGATAGTGATCGGAGCCCCAAATAAAAGGAAGGGTACCGCACCCGAGAAGAGACGCGGGACAAAGTATAGGTAGCTTTACCCCAAAACCTTATTTTCCTTTCTCATATGGACAGTCATGGTCAATTTTCTTCTTCCTTTTTCACCAAGTCATCAGTCTTCTACTTTTCCATCGACTGCCGTCCTGACAAAATGTCAAAGTCAAAGGCTACCACACAGAAGGCCGCAGAGAGTCCCGCTCGAGAGAAAGTCTCGTTACTGGATAAGCTCAAGCTCGCGGTGAAGGATTATTTGGATCGCAAGGTGGATGAGATCCAGCTGCGGAAGACCGCCGAGGAGGTCAATAAGGCCTCCAAGCAGTACAAGGCCGTCCAGATATCATCACTGTCTCTGAAGGAAGTGGTGAAGGCCCTGAACCTTAAGCATGACACCAAGGACGGCGAACTTCAACATGTCCCTCAAGTGCCACTCCCCCCCCCTCCTAGGTACGGAGCTCCAAAGAAGAAGCAGAGGAAGTATAGAACTAACTTGATATAGTCGAAACCCTAGCCCTCATTGATAGGGCTTCTAGCCGCTCCCCCTCTACCGAAGCCAGTATCCGCTGGATCATCGACACCCTCCTCCTAAACGCACACCGTATCGCCGCCTACCAGCTCCCCCATGCCCAACCGAGCAACGTCCAAACCGAAAGGTCATATAAATATGGCCCGGTATCTTTGAAGCGCGAAAGGGTTATGCTGTCAGCGCGTCCCGACTACAGGATTTGGTACGGCGAGGACGAGGCCGTGTGCCTCAATGTCCTTATCGTAGAAGCGAAAAAGACTGATATCGAGTCCGGCGTCGCCCAGGCCCTAGGGTATATGGGTGAGTATCTGACGATGCCTATTATATTATATATCAGAAAGCTAACCCGTTAAAAAGGGTGCATCCACCGAGAGCGCAAGGATCTCCGTAAGGGAGATTGTACTGTGGATGGTATGGCCTCGAACGGGTCTATGTTCTCGTTCCTAAAGATCTCTAACAATTCTAAGGTGACCTTTTCCAAATCATCTAAACCTAGTATTCTAACCTCTACTAGTGGTCAGAGCACGTTGTCAGTGTGCGTAATGGCAATTTCGAGCTGCCTCTCGGCATGCTCGTTTACATGCTTCGCCGGGCGGCCATCATGTCACCCGCCCACTCCAAGGAGAGTTCCCACCAATCCCACAACCAGGAGGGATATGACAAGATCGACGAGGCTCTCACCACCGTTGTTGAGGATGTTGAGATGGAGGAATAGCTTTCGCTCGTGTCCGTGGCCTATTGAGGTTCTATCGCTTTTGTTGAGATCTTGCTTACCTGCTCAACGCCATTCTTATCATCCTTTGTCGTTCCCCAATGTTCTTATTAATGAAGTCTTTTCCTTAGCCGATGTGAATTGATTGCTTTCCATCGATAAACTACCGATCGCCACCCAAGTACTCCAGTCGATGGTCATTTTGAGCCAGCCATTCTTGGAACCAGACAAGTGATTGATATCTATGGGACAATTTATTCTGACTCAAGTCAATATTGCAAGCAAGGACCCTCGTGCGGTTCTGTACATACCTTATCTTTGTGTGCCATTTCCGCCAAAGTCTCGCCCTCATGTTCAAAAATTGGCTCACAACCTAGTGAAGGGTTAGCTCCTTTGTTCTCCATCGTCTCAAAGCCATGGGTGGTGACGCGGGTTCTGACCAAACACGGGCGGACCTCTGGCAGGGAGCCTCGTCTAGGACAAGGACATTGAAAACAGAGGTATGGTTAGGCGAGACCCAGTACTCCAAGAAGTCCTTTAGGACTTCAGTGCCGTCATTATTGTATCTTGGTGGGTTGTACGAGACTGGTGGGAATAGGCCTGTCCTTTCGATCTCTGCTGTTCTCTCCCTATGGGTTTTATAGAAGGAGAGAATCACTGCCATCCGGGCATCGGGATTTTTTTTGATCGAAGATGTACCGCAAGTACTGAGGAAGTGATTTTGTCTTTAGCTGAGTGGACGTCAGATGAAAGTGGCAACATCCTTAAGAAGCATTGGGTCACTATGGGATATAATCACTCGTAGTCCTGGCCAGTAATCCTTGGTTTCTTTCAGCCACTGGGCAATGAGCGGGGCAGGTACAAGGATAACGGACGGCTTGTACCCTTGGAGATCAAGCGTTGGAGTAAAAGTGCAAGCAGAGTTTTCTTGGTCGTGCCAAACCCTGTGCTATCGGCAACAATTGTCCCATGGATCTGGAGGTCTTTGAGCTTCTTCGCGGCTTTGAGAGCCTTATCCGCTAGAAGGCCATTTGCTGCAACCCCGCATGCTTTTAACAGAGCCTGGCCATCAATTACGCCATTAAGTTTGAGGAGAATCCCAACGACCGCCACTATCTGCTAATGGAAAAATTGGCAAGTTGTTTTTGAGGGGGATACAAGGTTGGATGAATATTGGCCTGGCGCCTCGGGCACCTCTGTGCACATAAGCAAATCAAGGGAGAGGTCCAGATAGGGACCGGCGCGCTTTTGGGATCCAGATGATGCTTGGTGATTGTGTAATAATCAGAATCGTCCTAGGGGTGGGTTAGTGGAATATTTGTTTATGGATTAAGTCATATGCATGACTTATAGTTTTCTCCACTAGGCCTTGTGCTTCTTTATGTGCCAGCATGTTAGCACTCTCAAGGCGTTCCGTTCCTCCTTTGACGCTTTCGCAGTAAGTGGGTTCAAGGCCACACTTGTTAGTGTGCAATTCTCTGTAATGGCGTCGATGGTCTCTCTTTGCCACTTCCGGCGACCCTCTTCGGGATCGACATCAAATCCACTATAATATGCGATTTTTGTTTCCGGCAGAAAATTTCGAGAAAGTGCTTGGCATGAGGATGATGCTCCGATAAACTGGGCATACTCGAGGCTCTCGTAGGAACTTGATTCAATCGCCTCGGTAGGATCTGCAGGATCCGAAAGACGCTGGCCCTCTTCATGATGTTCAAGTCGCTCTTTTGCCATCTCTCGAACTGCAGGCAAAATGAACTAAGACTCGAACAGAGGCGCCTTCGTCCTCGCCATCAATGGCTTCAACCTCCAAGGTAACGACGAAGTGGCAGTTCCTATCATGGTCTCTAAAGGCCTGCTGGGTGTCACCCTAACGGGATGGCGTATTTCAAGTCCTCTTTTCATATGCGTATCCCCGGCGATGTATATCAATTCGAAATTTTGACACACATCCGAATATTCCCGCAGTTTACCAAATGTCTGAGGTAATCTCTGAAGCTTTCCCCTAACTCAAAGCCTAGGGGATCTCGCTCAAGAATTTGATCCTCGGGTGGGATTATAATGCCATGTTTTTTTCGCATCTTCTAGGACACAGCAAGGGCATCTGATCCGTCAAATTGCCGATACTTGCTCCACACCACATGGATGTCCACACTTGGCCGCAATATATTGGCCTCTTCTTCGGCAGACGGCCGAATCATGATCTTCTGGGGAAGGTTCGCGTGACAATGTCGTCGCCTGGGCCGTTTGCGGGTTCATCCAGGGAATGCAGGTGGATTGGGTGACTGGCTTGCCCACCTCAAGCCTCTGGGCAAGGCGCTGATAGTACGACGACTTCCTCCCCCCCCCCGTCTCGAGCCTTTGCCAAGAGACTAGAGAGGTACCTCATGCTTTCCATGCCCGGTTGTAGGTTCCTAGTATCGACTCGCCATGATCAGTCAGTGGCCCAAATGTCGGTGCTGGGCCGTTAACGGGAATTTTTGCGGGCACCTCGAGGCCAAAGTCGGCCGCGAATGTTCCCAATGTGGATTCCTTTTTCTCTTTTCTCTCATCAGCTGAAATAACATCCCATTCTTCCCAGAGGGCTATAACTTTCAGGATCGCCCAAGCCGCTCGATTCTGCCAATTTTCCTGCGAGGTCTCCTTACTTGGCCTGTTTGACTGTTCCTGTTGTCTCCGACGACGGGCCATGCTTCGGACGGGTCCTCAGTATCGGCGATTCGGTTCCGTTCGCTATTGTTGTCCAACAGAGCGAACACGTTACGCTTCGGTAGGTTCTTTGCCGGGCCTTGAAAGTACCGCCATGCTGACAATGTCGGAAGTTGGACAAGAGCTTTCCATAGCTCCTTCGAATAAGAGAATCCTAGGTATGCTGCTGGCGATGCCTCCTTATGCTCTAAGGATAGCCACGTCGAAGGGGGTCGGGAAAGGCTAACGTATCGAGCCTCGTGTAGATTCTTTTGCATCGCTGATGCAGCCTTAGGCGCGGTTGAGGAATCTTGTTTCTAGATATGGTGCTAGCGTATGTAATATTATCTAGTAAGGTCCACCGTTTTGTCTGTGGGGCTGAACGGGATAAGGTCCGCTTTGAAGATGTAGTAGACGCCTCGTTCTGGTAGTTTAGTCTGGGAGACTGCTGTTAAGAAAAGTATTAGTGCAGGCCATGTGGGAATATTGTTTCGACTCCTTGCCTTTTTCTTGCCGGCCTGCGGGGTGCGAGTAGAGCCACCTCTGGTCGTGCGTGCCATTTTCATATGAATGGTAAGAGTGTTAGTGAATGAGGCGAGAGCGACGTTGAAGATGGGCTGGCTGGTGTTGTTGAAGAAAGATGGCAGTAGCGCTGCTCAAAGTAGGGTGAACTCAATGAATAGAACTGGCCGATGTACCAGGTTCTAGGTGAGTGAGAGGTGAGTGGGAGGAGTGTGAAAGATCAGGCGGCTACAGTTGCTGAAGAGTAGACGTCAGAAGGGCTACTGGAAACACGGGGAACTAAGAATCTTGAAACGTCCAATCCAATTCAATTCTCACGACAAACAGTAAGGAACAAAAAAGAAAACAGTCCCAGACGCTGTTAACCGAAAAGTAGAACATTTTTGTTTCCTTTCCCTATGTACGCCCCCAGCATCTCTATACTCAGCGTCCAAGCTCAATCTACGTCCAATATGGATGAACTACCCTTCCGGAACTGGCGTCTAAGTTGCCTCCATAGTAGCATCGCGAATTATGACCCTCAACAAAACAAGCCCTTTCAAACTACTGCGCTTCCAGCGAAGACGGTAAGGATTGTGGGTAGTGTCGTGATCGAAAAATTACCTGTGAACCGGTACGCGTAGCCCCCCCCCCGGGTGCATAGGGTCTACTTAAATTCCAACAAAGTACACTAGCCGTCCATGGGCAAGGTGATGTCTACGACTTGTGTGCAATTCTGGAGTGGGATGGTAAGTTTTGGCCTCGCTGCAAAAGCTTCTACTGGAATTCGGCATTTCGTCTTGCTATTTGTGAGGCATCCAAAGAACTCTGCCTTAAGTCTGAGCATGCTGAAATGAGCCACCGTCGCTACCATATAATGAGCGGCATTGATTGGGACGATATAAACGAAGAGCAAAATGTATGTTTTCTTTCGTATCTGAACCCTTGATGTGTTGTTTCACCCCTGGCTAACAATAAACCATAACAGGCCGACATCCATAACTACCGAAGATTCTTTGCTGACATCGCTTCGTGCTTTGACACCGCCCACCACAGGAATCATTAATCGTTAGGACTTTATTACTTATAACCCGGAGAGACTGTTGCGTCTCTGCAGAGGAGACTCTGGTTTCTTGGAGTGGGCGGAGGCAAAGACAGAGTTCCTGGATTGCATTCAGCAGGAATCCATTTCAATCTATGGTTGTGAGTGTTCTAAGGCTGGAAGAAAAAGACTGGCTTTTATTGAAAACGGATTCCCCGTGGATGCTGTAGATTTGGGAATGCCCATCTTCTTTACCTCATGTCAAATAATTTCAAATGATCAAATTCCTAACTTCGAATCAGGTGTCCATCAGAGTTATTGCGTAGCTTGTTGACAATCAGATATAGACTGGCTGACAGGTTGATTTTGTGCGGTATAGTATGAATGTTCGCCGACTTAGGTACTTTCACCCCGCCACTTTCCTCTGCTATAACCACAATATCGGCTCTCAAATCAAGAGAGATATAATTACTAATCTCCAGCTCGTGGTACATTAACTTGCTTTGTCATACAGGTGGCCCCCATTGCAAGGCAATAAAAGGTGTCTACGTAATCTGTAGTCGAAAAAATTGCCATGATGGCCATGCATTTCCATGCGTAAATATGCATGCTATATTACATCTGACAGAGCAAGGCCATGGGTACTTATACCTCCACCCATCCTTTCTCGTTCTCATCAGCGAAACTCTCGCGGTATGGATGTTTCTCAATCCATTCCTCTGCACCGAGGACTGTCGCAGATTTCTCATAGAACTCGCTGAGCACGTCGTTCAGCTCTATAACTTATTAATAACCGCCAATCTACCAACGTATGTCGTGTGAGAACTCACTTTCAATTTCCATGGGACTTGAAGGCTGCAGGGAAAAGCGAGACACGCCCTCTCTCCACAGTACCAGCGCGGGTGGAATGGGAGTACCTAAACTCATAAGCTTCTGTTTTCACTAAAGATCGAACATGGAAAACATCATACCTCGCGGAACACATATAACAGTGGGATCCATGAGGCATTTGCCGTCCGCGATCTCTTCCTGGTACCGCTCAAAATCAAAGCGCAGCATTTGCTGCATGAGACGAGAATTGGGCATGAATATCGGCCCATTGGAGTCTAATACGTAGATAGTTAGACCCTATTGCACAGAGGCTAGACCGGAGTTTACAGACAGGGGCTTGACTTCGAGATTGTTGCGTGCACTAGCCCATTCTTGGATACAGTGACTGCATCCTTCCTATGACGGGTCTCGTCTTGGGCCACATCATATAGTGTGGCCTTGCGGTCCAGCTGGTACCGATACATCGTCGCGGGGAATGAAGCATGGGTGGAAAGTAGGGAGAACTTTCGGGCTTGGTTCATGTTCAGCCGGGTGGCTGGTAGCCAGTGAGTGGCGAGCATCGTTGCTAGAGTGTGTCGCAAGCCAATGCTATAGGGGTAAAATTCCCAAGTGGTGTGGTTAAATTAAACTCCGGATATGGCGGAAATGGGGAAAGGAACACGGGCCCGTGACGCGATGAACATTATGTTGGGACAAGGTTTAAGTGGACCTTCTTGACCTGTACAAAACGTAAGGGATGGATTTCTCAAGCATTAAAGGTATTTGGTAATTTAGAAATTTGAAAATATGTCTATATGCTTTCGTTTTGATATAATTTAGAACCTTAATATGTCTGATGAATTGCTTCACACGCTTCTGTATATTTGGAATTGCTACAAATACCGCGACGTGTTGTAATAAAGGTCACATGATCTGTAATGCAGTAATTTATTATTACGAATATTCGACACCCTCCTCCCTGATTACTTGCTATAAGGGATACATTGTGTATCTTTCCAATCACAATTTCGATCCCCTCCCGGGAATTGTTCTTGGACTATGTACTCCAAGGTTCTCCAGGGCATTTGCCAGTTAACGCCATTCCATCACGGGCTGTCATTTACTAAGGAACTGCCCCTCAGTCTATGTTTTCAATTTAATGCGACATCGTTGGGTGTTGTAAAATGGGTAGAAAGTTGAGACACAGGTGGAATCTGCTATCGGGTATCGCCTTGCCAACACGGCCAATTTGCCTTCGGCATTTGACACGGTTATCGAAATGTCGCAATGAATTATCCCGATAGACTTGACTCAGGTAAATGCTTGGCTTCGGCAGTGTTGATTGGCCGAGAGTCAGAGCCCCAATCAATCTAATCTATGCGCAACAACTTTTGAATATCCCTCCAATAACCAAATCCGTTGCCAGCAATCTTGTTCCTGAATACATGTCAATCTGGGCCTGACGCGCGTTGGTTAATCTATTTCACAGAGTGGAAAAGATCGTCGGCGCCGTTTCGTGATAAGGTTGGGCCGATAGAGCAGGTTGGTTTAGGTATAAGTGAGCGTTTTGCAGCTAGAATGAGTCCTGATGTCCAGGAACCTCCTTCATCCAGAAGTATCCATTCATCCCGTTGAGCGATGCTGTTCTGGACTGCAGTTCTATCAGCCGCCCTCGTGACAGGCTTGACCGTCAAGGAAACAGATGATGGTGTCATTGTCGATGTTGAAGGTGATGATGCCTTCGTGGTGACCATCGACAACTCCGGATCTATCTCTTCGCTCCAGTACCGAAAGACTGAGTATCAGTACTCTGGAACGCTGAGTCACATTGCCTCTGGCCTCGGTAGCGACGCGTCTGTGACTTACAAGACCGAAGGTTGGCCCATCTCAGGTCCAGGGCTCATCCCATTTATCTAACAGGATCAGGGGATTATGCCGTCGTTTCGGCCACTATCGATGACGACGAATTCAATCTGACCCACTACTACGTCTTTCAGGGTGGCCTTAGCGCAATCTATATGGGCACTAATTCCCTCTCGCAGCCCTCCGTCGGGGAACTACGCTATATCGCCCGTCTGGTTAACCTACCTGAGGCCTATAAGGAGGGCGGTGTCTCGGATATCACGGGCGGAGAAGTCGTCGAGGGAGAAGATGTTTTCCTCGTTGATGGAGAGACACGGAGCAAGGTACACCTACCGTATACTCTTACTCGATTGTCCACAGCTGACACATGAGATAGTTCTACTCATCCGAGCGCTTCATTGACGACTCCGTCTACTGCGCCTACACCTCAGACAGTTCCGTCCACGCCTGCTTCCTCTCCGACACGCGCTCCCGCGAGAAATCCTCCGGCGGTCCCTTCTTCAGAGACATCGACCTAAACCTCGGGAGTGACTACCACTCAGTCACGTACTACATGAACTCCGGCCACGTCCAGACAGAAGAGTATCGCACTGGCTTCTTCGGTCCGTACATCCTCTCCTTTTCGGGCTCCTCCATCCCATCCTGGTCCGACTTCGACACCTCCTTCTTTGATGACCTCAAACTAGACGGCTACGCTGGCTCCTCAGGTCGTGGTGTCGTCTCCGGATCCGTAAGCGGAACAGCCGACTCTCTCCCGGCCATAGTCCACTTCTACAACGATGACTACCAATCCTGGACAAACGCCTCGGACGGCTCCTTCACGTCCCCGGAAATCGTCGAGGGATCGTACACTGTCGCCTTATACCAGGATGAACTCCTCGCAGCCACCACAACGGTCGCGGTATCCGCCGGCGCAACAGCAACAGCCTCCATCAGCGCAACAAACGAGATAATTACCGCAGATAGGACCACGATCTTCCAGATCGGCGAGTACGACGGCACACCCTCCGGTCTCCTCAACGCGGACAAACAGCTCCGCATGCATCCCTCCGACGACAGGATGTCGGATTGGAACCCTACGCCATTTGTCGTCGGCTCAAGCGAGGACAGTTCCTTCCCTATGGCACTCTTCGCCGATGTTAACAATAACTTTGAGATCCAGTTCACAGTTGACGGAACCATCGACGCCGACAAGGTCACGGTCCGAGTTGCAACGACCCTCTCCTTCGCTGGTGGACGGCCTCAAATAACGCTTAACAACGACGAGTGTGACGCACCAGATGCTCCGATCACGATTGATTCAAGGGGTGTGACGCGCGGCGCATACAGGGGTCATGGCGATGTGCACACCTGCTCCTTTGATGCGGCGAGTGTGGTCGATGGTGAGAATTCTGTGTATATTGCGGTTATATCGGGAAGTAGTGGGGAGGAGTTCCTCAGTCCGAACTTTGTGATGCCCTGTTTTCTCTTGTATTTCGTCTGGTTTGGTGTGGATTGGGCTAATGATTCCTACCCAGGTGGTTGATGCTGTTGAGGCTTATTATTGAGACCCCGGTGGAGGTGGACTGTGTATCCCCCTGTTATTTCCAGGCTGTTTCTGGGTCCAGTTTGTTTGGATGTCTTCCCATTGTATGTAAGATATGCTTAGGGTATCTTATCTGGGTGCTCCGGGGATTTCATATGTGAACTTGGGTAGTTGCTTGTTAATCTGCTATTTAGCCAGAACTCGAATCCCCTCATCTTGTCAACCACTCATCGTACCTTACAGGGAACGCTGTAAACGAATTGTACAAACCAGTACCAGTTGAGTAAATCCTTTTCTATCGTTGGATCCGGATGCATTTGGTAACTGAACCGGATCCGCCCAAGATGATGGGGGGCAGGTTGAGGGTTGGAGATTGATCTGGGGATGCCATCGTTTAGGAACTATCCGTCGGTCAACGAATCCGCTGTATCCCACCTCGGTGCAGAAGATCGACGTCTTAAGACGGTTTCCATTTTCTCTGCGGGAGATAAGACATCCTTGGTGTCCATCCACACAGGATTGACCGCAACGGTCTCCATGGGCTGGCTATTTGTGCGTCAACCACGCCTTAAATCGCACCCCACCCTTCATCGTGGATCCCACGCTCAAGGACACTGGCTGTTACCGGATCGGACAAATTCCGATGCCGAGACGATGATTTCTGCAGTGAGTGGGGATCCGAATGTGGGTGAAATAGCCCGATTCGTTAACCTGTATCAGAGATTAAGCCGATTTCTCGAGTTGTCACGAAACAAGAGAGGAAGGAGAATTATCCAGTTGGCTGGTGGAAGTGGTGGCCGCCCCGCCTGCCCTCCCACCTCGGTCGTCCCGCATTCCCTCCCGCATCCCTTGAAATTCATATGAGGAAATAGATTGGGGGAATTGGGTTGGACTTACTTTCCAATAGGATAATTGGAAGAGTAACCCGATCCCGTGGCTAAATGGATAATCTAGTCATGTCTTGAATGCTCTGATTTCCTGCGGGGTATGTTGATCGCTTGCGAGGACGGAGATCGTCAATGAGGCCAGGAATGATATAAATGTATCGCGATGTCTCTGACTGACAGAAAGCAGTTCTCTGATACCCTTTTATCGACTGAGTAATTTGTGAATCTACTCTTTGAGCGGCTAAGATGGCGTTTCGCAAGTTACTGGGGTCAGCAGTGGCTTTGACCTTCATATCGGCCGGACTGGGAGCCGACCTTGACGGATCTCGCTACCTCTGGTATGACACCCCAGCTTCTCAATTCAACGCCAGCCTGCCAGTCGGCAACGGCCGTTTGGGTGGGACCCTCTACTGTCTCCCGACTGAGATTGTTACCTGGAACGAAGACTCGGTCTGGGGCAGTACCTTTCAAGATCGGGTCAATCCCAAGTCGTTGAAGTCCTTTCCCGTCATCCGCGATCTTCTGGTCGGTGGCAATGTTTCGGCTGCGGGCAACCTAGCTCTCACCGACATGACAGGCATATCGATAGATCCGAGTGCGTATCAAGTACTGTCCAACCTATACATAGACCTCGGCCAGAGGGACGAGGCGAAAAACCTCCTGCGCTACCTTGATACTCTAGAAGGGTACACAGCATGCGAATATGATTATGATGGTGTCGGCTATAAGTAAGCTTCTGTTCATACTGTGGAAGATAATAAGAGGGGGAACTAATGCTTTGCCAGACGAGAACTGATCGCAAGCAGCCCATCCGGGGTGCTGGGACTTCGGATCAATGCTACTACCCCAGGAACCATCAATCTGAGCGCACATTTGCAACGTTCGAAGTATGTCGAAGCCAACTATGCGACTGTCGCAAATGGAGTGAACTCTATAGTCCTGAAGGCTACCACGGGAGAAGACAATTACAACACGTTCACTGCGGAGGTGAGAATTGTTGCGGACAAGGGTACATATAACAACCCCTGATTACAGCTTGCCGGGTTTAACTCTCATTAGCAGGTAACGTAACTACTAGCGAAGGCAAGTTATTTGTCTCCGGTGCTACGACGGTGGACTTCTTCTTCGACGCAGAATCCTCATATCGGTACACAAGTGCCAGCGACCAAGAAGCGGAACTGAAGCGCAAGCTAAATGCTGCGACTGACTTGGGCTATGATGCACTGAAGGAGGAGGCAGTCAAAGACCACAAAAGTTTGGCAGAGCGAGTTAGACTGGATCTAGGAGCATCCGCTGGCGATGCTGCCAGCCTTCCGACAAATGAACGGCAAATCAACTATCGGTCATCCCCAGATAATGACGTTGAATTTGCCACACTGTTATTCAACTACGGAAGACATCTATTGATTGCATCATCTCGCAGTATAGGGGACCTGGCCTTGCCTCCTGGTCTGCAGGGAATATGGAACCAAGACTACAGTCCATCCTGGGGTGGAAAGTACACCGTCAACATTAACCTGCAAATGAACTATTGGCCTGCAGAAACAACCAACCTGAACGAGCTGACCTCGCCGCTATGGAGGCTGTTGACCCTCGTGCAGCAACGTGGCGAGGATGTGGCCGAAAAAATGTATGGCTGTCCAGGCTTCGTCCTGCACCACAACACTGACCTCTGGGGCGACGCCGTGCCTGTTGACAATGGCACCAGTTACTCCATCTGGCCTATGGGCGGCGCCTGGCTTAGCCTCCATATGATGGATCATTACCGCTTCACCGGTGATAGAACCTTTCTTGCCGAGAAGGCTTATCCCATCTTTAAGAGCGCTTTTGATTTTTTTGATTGTTATCTTTTCGATCTGGATGACTATCTTACCACTGGGCCTTCTTGCTCACCGGAACTTGCCTACAAAATACCTTCTGGGATGGCAACAGAAGGACAGGAGGAGGGCCTCACTTTCAGTCCTACATTGGACAACAGTATCCTTTTCGAGTTGTTCACTGCGCTGAACGAAACCCACAGCATCCTTGGAATCAACGACAGTTTTGCCAGCAAGGTGAAAAAGCAGCTTGGGAAACTAAGACCCCCACAGATCGGCTCAAAAGGACAGATACTTGAATGGATTGAAGAATTCACTTCAACGGATGAGGGCCATCGCCATTTTTCACCTCTGTTCGGCTTATTTCCCGGAACACAACTAACCCCTCTTGCCTCACCCGAGCTTGCCAGTGCCGCGGGCGTTCTTTTCGACGACCGAATGGACAATGGCGGTGGTAGCACAGGCTGGTCGCGTGCGTGGTCCATCGCCTTAAACGCTCGTCTCTACAAAGGCGCCAGCGCCTGGGAGAATGTCAAAGCCTGGCTACAAACATTCCTCTTGACCAATCTATGGAATAGTGACCATGGAGGCTCAACCGTGTTTCAAATCGACGGAAATCTAGGATACACGGCCGCCATCTCCGAAATGCTGCTTCAAAGCCATTTAGGCGTTGTTCATCTCTTGCCTGCTCTGCCGAGCAGCATCCCAGCCGGATCTGTTACTGGTCTTGTTGGACGGGGAGGCTTCGAGGTGGGTGTATCGTGGAAGGACGGAAGTCTCACAAAAGCGACAGTGAAGTCTCTGCTTGGCAATGAGCTCACCCTGCTCGTTAATGGCGGTAATTCATTCCGTGTTGACGGTACAGAATATCAAGGGCCCATCACGACGAAGAAGGGGGAGACGTACACCATTACGATTCAGTAGTAGGACGTATAAACTCCTAGTTATCCACTGCTTAGAACTAGGTAGTCTGCACTGATGAACACCCGTTACGAGAATAGCTAGAGACCTTTGTCGTAATATATGGAGCTCCAAAGCGATATAAAAGCTTTCTGGATTAAGGAAGAACAATATACAGCAATTCAGATACAGGATGGTGAAAACTCCACCATGGTTCATTCATTACCGTAACTCCAGAGGCATCCAGCCACGGAACTCTGCCACCAGGAAAACTTACAAAGAAATGTGTTATATCATTCGCGAGCGGTGGCTCATTGCCTTATACAGGTATTACAGAGCGAGGTCATCGGAACCTTCAACGGGCCTTCTTCTACAAGTATTACCGAGCTCATCTAGAGAAGGCGCTCCGAAATTCCACGTCCATCTCGTTTTTAAAGACATCATACCGAAGCAAGTCGCCATCGCATATTGTACGGGAGGTATTACGCTGGTCGCAAGCAGGGCTATTCTATGATCTATAGTAAGAGCTTAACGCCGTCAGACTTGTTCTAGAGAGTCTTGGATAGTATTTTGAAAGCTGCGTAAGGCAGCGGTGGATTCCTGACGATCCTATGGAGCCTGGAGATTACCAGTGGGAATCTGTACGTGGTAAAGGCTAGTAATTTAACCCGCCATCAGGAGTCCGTGAACGAAACAAATCAATTGCTGCTTGTCAGTTGACTTCCATATCAGATGCACACGAGCTTTCCTAGCTACACTGCTTCATCAAGATATCCCAGTCATTTTACAATGACTCAAGGTATAGTATAAGGATAATGAGAAAATAGTATGTGGACTGTCGCTGAAAATGCAAGTAGGACGCATCTTACCTAGCTGAATGACTGATATAGCCCCGTTATGGTATATACACCCGGGGCCGAAAATGAGCCAATCTGAATGGACTGCACATTAGTTGACTACAACGCGGTAATACTTAATTCTGTTTTTCAGTTATCGTCCTTTCCATTATGTAAAGTTCAGTTCTCTCTCAACCTTCTACAAATACTACTCAATTGCCAGGTTAAGCAGGTACCCTGAATCGCACTCCCTTAACTATGTAGGTTTAGTCTTCGTATTCCAATTTCAAGGATTAGTTTTCTTTTTCCTCACATCCCGAGGAAATCGAGCGTTGGATGAATGTATCGACATTCGTGAAACGTTGGCACCCCGTCACCAAACCCAACGGACGTTCACCGAGTGAGAGGTTTGTCGCTAAAGCGAGAGGCATCCAAGGGACACCCGGGAGGTAATAAGATCTCATTGACGCTCAAGGATGGGGAGCATGGCTTCGACGCGGTGGTTCCTTTGAATAGTTGGCTTGGCGAGGCTATTCAAGTAGCTGTTGAGAGTTTGTTGGAGTGATTAACTCAGGATAGGCAACTATTCACGGCCAAATTTGAAACAGAATATAAGCTTTCAAGACCCTGGAATACAATACATGGATATAGATGCGTTTCCAGACTGCAGCGTAACCCGCCGCAACCAAAACCCGTATAACCCGAGACCAACCCATTACGCCGTCTCTGCTTTTTTTTTTCCTTACTGTCAACCTGAAAGGTTATAATTTATCATTAAGTTTTATGCAATTCAGTGGAAACCTGCCGCTCTAATTGTTTTGTATAGTAAATCGGTTCTCAGCGGGATAGAGGAGCTCATGTGCTACAATACTCCAACCTCATTACAAAGCGACCTTTGAACAGCGGTCCTCCTAAAAAAGACATCAACTAAGCCACTCATTATCCATTACTAGCCTGTGCACCATTCTATATATCCGAAATGTAGCATTAGTCTGTAGTTTTAGGCAAAAGGGCTACTCCCTCTCTCACAAGGTGTCTACTGTTTTTGAAGAACTATAACGAAGAAATATGCTTCGTTTACTAGACGGATAATATGCACACTAACAGTTCTCCTGTAAAAGATGCTTGTGCGATCTCTCAGACGCGTGGTGTGCTTGAGTGCTTTTTACCTGCGGAAGATCTAGCTCGTGTACGTCTCTTCGCACCAACCCATTTCCCCATATCTTATCGGCCGTCACCGTCTCGTTTTAGAGTTGAAATGATTCATCGGACAATGAATTACGTTCTGGGGAGTTTGAAGCAGGTGGCCTCACACATTCATTCGTATACGTAGCTTGGCTTGTTTCGGCAAGAGGTCACGCCTAGTTACTCTAAAATCTCTCGTCTTAGTCATAGCCCAAGGACGCGATAATTCAATATTTTGATAGCGGTATGTCTAACTTTTTTTTTGTCACTCCGCGCTCACTTTAGCTACTCCCCTACTCGGCTGAATCGACACTCTCTCTTACTAGCGAGCGATAAATCCTCTGATATCCCACTTCTCCTATTCTGGAAGAATAGTTAACGCCGCTTTCAGGTCATTGCTGCCCTTGCCGGTGATGCTTTCCAATCTCAGTGACTGTTATTAGTTTCAAGCATCTGTTTGTGCTCGAGATATCTGAAATTACCGCCGAGGACGCCTGAAAAGCACGACAATCCAGAAGCTAATTATATTGACTTGTACGTCCATATTCGACCTCCAGAAAGATTCGTTTGCCTTTCAAAGTGGCTTTTCAATCTTGTGGAGTTGAAGCGGCACTATGTCCAACCAGTGATACTGAGGAGAAGGAAGAGGAGAACGGGGAAAGTGACGCTATTCCTAATCACAATTCGGCATACAACGATTCATTTTTCTAGTCAGGAATCCTCGCCAGTCCTTAGAGGTCCAGCTTCAGTCTTCAACAAAATACACCTTATATTGTACTACACGCATTAGATGAATATTCTACTTCGCTTATCCCATCCAAACTAGGGACTTGCATGCGGGATCTCAAAACCTACCTCTTGACAAATAGATACATCTCTTTGTTGAGCATAAAACGGTAACTCACTTTCCTTATTTAGTGTTTATATTATTATTAATATATATATATATATATCTCTCTCTCTGTACAGAAGGCTGTATAACTTAGTGTATAGGAAGGTGATACAAGGTGTATCAGATCACCAGTGTATAATTCATAAGCATTTAATGGTTTTCTATATCCGCCAAGATACACCAAGGCCTTCTGTCCTAGCCTAGAAAGGGATTCGGTACGGGTCCTGAAGTTGGACCCAAACCCGACCCAATGCCTTAGAACCTCTGGAGATAGTAGGAAGTTAGGAACTAGAGATGTATCGACGATGATGAGGAAAATATGCAGTCTATGAAGCTATCAAGAAAAGCGGATGGGGGGAGGAGAGCGAGCGAGCTAGAGGCTAGGACTGAATCAAATCCTGGTCCATAGAATGACAAAATCCCCTAACAATTTCCACGGTTTCATCTCTGCTTGATCTTGCAGTGGAATCTCTGCTTCGCAAATACATGAGATTTGACCACCCATTCCATATTTGGGGGCTCCAGCTCAAAGTCGTGTTTTCTTATAAGCTGGGGGACAAGCTTGCTGATCTCGAGAAAGCTGATGTGTCTTCCTATACATGTTCTCGACCCAAACCCGAACTGCACACTGGTCAGGAATGTTGTTTAGGGTCCATGTGACAGCAGATGGATAAACGTACAGAGGCAAAGTATGAATCCATTCTTGAGATTTCAGTCTTTGGCCCAAGCCAACGCTCGGGCCTGAATGCTGTAGACTCTGGAAAGACTTTTTCGTTTCGATGAGCAACCCATGCATTGATTCCAACTTCGGTCTATCACAGCGTTAACACAAGAAGGCATCGTTCGATTTGGCTACTCACATTTTCAGGTAGATATTTGCCACAAATTACAGCACCGCCTCGCGGTACACATCGTGCCAGAACAACCGCTATTGCCGGGTGCATGCGTAGCCCTTCTTTGATCACTGCCTGGAGATAGGGTAGTTCCTGAGACTGCTTGAAAGTTATCGGATCAGAGAGCTCGCCAGCCGCCCATTTCTTGTCTATTTCATCTCGCAGTTTCTCCATCTTACCCTGGTTTTGGATAAGATGGTAGAGGATCGCGCCCAAAGAGATTGCGGTTGTATCTGAGCCAGCAGCAATATTACTCCTGCACGAAACCTGAGTATCAGCATGAGTATTGGCCCCTTCTTTTTCCAAGAGCAAAAGTTTAGTAAGGAAATCATTTTTGTCATTTGGCGTTATGCCCCTGCGGCGCTGCCCGATGTGGAAATTGACGAAATCGAGCAGCTCGGCGCGAGATGAATTGACGCCGTACGGCCGCAGCTTGTCGAGCACTTTTTGGTACCAGTAGTGAAGGTCCGGCACGATACCGATGAAGCTACTGTAGAGGGTGGCACGGTGGATCTGACCGATAATACCATCATCACCTTCCTTCTCCATCAGCCCAAATGGATGACCAGCCTGTCAGATTCTGTGAGTGAGTGTCCTTTGTTCAAGAAGCAGAGGCGGAGAGTAACACTACCGTGATTGATCCAATCACGTCGAAAGCGTAGTATTGCAGAAACGCACCCATCTCAATAGGACGTTGTTCAATGCAGAATTTTCGAAACTTATCCTCCAGAGTAGCAGTGCATTGGTCGACAAAGGCCTCATAGCTCAGGAGGTTTGTCAACGAGTATAACTTGGCAATCCTCCGCCTCATTCCAGCATGGATACTAGGCTCTCTTTCGGAAAAGAGACTGGTTTTGTCCACGTCGGTAAACGCTGAGTAATAGCTGGTCTTCACGAACGGCTTCCCAAGTCCGTAAATGATCTTGACTGCGTCGGGGTCGTCAATACTGCACTTGTTTGGTCCGATACGAACAATTGGACCTGATTCTGTCAGCTCCAAGCAGATACATCGAGCTATTCATATGTACCATAAAATCTATGAAGCGCAATGAGCTTTCTCTCGAAGTCACCAGGTATGAGCGCATAGACCTCCCAGAGTCTCGTAAATTTGGCCCAGAACGGGCCTGGGATGTCATTCAAAGGACCCCAGAAGGCAACGTAGATTCGTCGAGATACAATAATGAAGAAGACACTGCCGAAGACAATGGCTAAGTATTCAGGGCACATGGTGGTTGAGTTTGCAACTTGAATGCTAGGGTGTAGTGCTAAGACAGGCTCGGATTTAAATATCACGCCCGGAGGTCAGCAACGCTCTTCGCACTTCAACAATATCAATGGAATAATTTTTATAGTACAACGCTGAGATCCCCAAGTTGTGGACCTGGACTCGGAGCCTTGCCCCTCCGATCGGTGTCCGGGTAAGTCCGAAGACGTCTCATTTTGAAATAGTAGAATTTGTACCGGAAGATGCATTTAGTGACTTTCGGCCTTTGCCTTCAGAGTACGTAGCTGAATGTGCCTCAACGAGATTCGGTCTTCGGCATATTCATTTGACGACCTAAAAGGTCGTACCTGATCACGTAAACCCTTCGGCTTTTGGGAAAACTCCACAAAATCCGGAAATGTAACTTGCCGAGTCGCTAGAAAATCGAATATGACTGAGAACAATTCCCAGACTTATCCGGGTGATCGGGGCTATTGACTCGGGACGATGTGATTGCTATTGACCTCTTCTGCTCTTCCCCATTAATCTACCAATATACCATGTTCCTTGCCCTGATGGGAGGTACGATTGTACACGCTAGTTACACTTGGTTGCCCTATATTTCAACCTAATGGGCATGTATACGCCATCAATCCACAACAATCGCATCCATCTGCATTTTGTTTTTGGCCACTCAAGATCTGAACAAACATCAGACGGAAAGAATATTTTGTTCATACCGTACCAAGAAGAGAACTGGGCATTTCAGTCAGAGAGAGGCCAAGGTATCTGAACAATGACACTTTAAAGTTTGCGTGGAACAGCCCTCTTGCCGATCTGAAGCACGACGTCAGTTTCGGATAACAGCTGCATATTGGATATATGACATACAAGGAACGAGCACTATGCGATGCATATGTTTGGTACCGACGTTCTTTTCGCAATGTGCTGGTAAACAACTGTGCCCTCCGGATAATACTTCAGAGTTTCCTGGAACTCTGGTCGATTATAAGCATTTCGTAACGCTGTCGTCGATTCCCAAACCGCGATGTTCAAGATAAGATTGCTGTTTGCGATGCCCTTGTGAAGCTGAGCAGAGATAAAACCCGGTTGGGACTTCATAAGGTAGGAGTCCTTCGTCCACAAAGCCAAAACGTTATCATGCTCCTTATTGGGAACAATCACAGTGTCCATCAGCACAATCGGCCCTTCCTCCTCTTCCAGTTGCGAAGCAAAAGAAGTCGCAGGGTCAATATTCGCGAAGGTCGCCATCATAGGCCGCGTTTGATGTGTTGCAATATTGGAGATAAGACTGGCGAAGATTACTTCACCAGAGCTATGTCATTGACTGATTTTTATACTTGCAAATATCGGCCTTCGGGAGGAGTACCAGCCGCTCAAGTGGAGATTTTGATGCCCGAATAGTCCGGTTGATTTTGACGAGCTCGTGCGGGGCCATCGGGGCCATTGGGGCCGACGGGCCCGACCGGACAAGTGTCCACGGCTTTTGCGGACGATTTCTTGTGTTGATCCACTAATCTTCACGACTGCTATAGGGAGTCAGCGTAACCAGCCCTACATAGCTTAACATTATTAGGGATTCTGCAGTGGCTAGTTATATTGATGGGATTTTCACGCGTCCATTTAATGCGGCTGAATGGGTCAAAGTTGGATAGGACAATATGGAAGAAACATACTACATACTGGGACGCTACTGTATGTAGGGACCAAAGGAGAGGCGGGAGAGAGCTGACTTTTCTAGCAAGCAAAGCTCCCAACTATCTACCCGACTAGTTAACTAGTTAAATAAAGACCTTATTGTTAGACTGCGCCGAAAACCGCAATTGGGGGCAAATCCTTACCCCAACCCCAAACCGCACCCAAGCCATAATCCGTTATGATGGCATAGCCCGTCAATTCCTCCAAATAGCTCCCTCGAGTACTGTATCCGTTTTGTAGGAGTATATATGAAGTTGTTTTTATTTGTTTGCATACTAACTTCAGAGCTGTCTGAAGGCCTGTCTAACTTATTGGATTCGTCCCTAGGTACAGTACCACATCACCAGCTTAGGAGTAGTTCGAAAGAAAATCCGCCAATCTGGATCCTTGTGTATTGTAGGTGGATATGGAGAAAGGAAAATGTGTGATATGGCTAGAGAGAAAAGCTGGCTGGTACAATACCGGCTCTGTTCAGTGTTCTCACATTCGGCCATTGCATCCTCAAGGCAGATTGTGGGATCCGCTGCGTAAGGTGGGTATGAAAACTGACCGACGGAACGGCATTTGAAGCGACATACTGTAGTTAGGTGCAGTGGAGCAGGGGCAGAATTGATCCTATGTTGGTACTCTCCTAACTTTTCTGGCGGATGCCTTGGGTTCTGAGACCGGACAGAGTCGTGAACTAGTTGCTGTTGTTAGAGTAGAACAAGAGATAAAAGGAAAACGTAAACCTCATCCGGCTCTCGGTATTCGCAAACACCGAAATCTAGGTTGGTTATGAGGGATACCCGGGTATTCGTCCGCTTGTGGTCTCGGTCATTCGCTGCTCCGGTCCCAAACCTCCTTATCTCCGGATCTGCGCGTGGAAGCGCTGCAGGGGTCTATTCAATAGACCTTTTTGATGGCCATGGTGATGGAGAGTCTCTTATTCCATCTTGGCTTGCAGCTCTGCCCCACTGATATTATCAGGTGAGCGAGAAGTGGTACATAAAGTGCGTCACTGCTGGACTTCTCCGTAAAACCTCACTTCCTTCGGATCCTTCCAGCTCGTTCTACTTGAAGAATTGATTGTTTTTACAATGACGCTTTCTGGCCTTGTGGTGGTGGTCACCGGTGCTTCCAAGGGCATTGGAAAAGACATTGTCCTACGAGCTGCCGCGGATGGTGCCAAAGTGGTCATCAACTACATGTCGGATGTCAATGCGGCCACCGCTCTCGCCATGCAGATTGGAAATGATCGTGCTCTTGCAGTCCAGGGTGACATCTCAAAGCTCACCGAGATTGATCGGCTTATCGAAGCCACGGTATCCAGGTTCGGGAAGATCGACGTGTTAATCCCGAACGCGGCATTTTTACCTCATGGAGACATGCACAGTATTACTGAGGAGAACTTTGACCGGGCATTTGCGGTTAATGTGAAGGGGCCTTGTTTCCTTGCGAAGGTGGGTCTTTTTCATTACTGTATCCCCACATGCCAGTTTCTAACTACTCTAATGTGGCTTTTGGCGCAAACATTGCTGATATGCTCGCTTCTAGAAAGCCATACGGTATATGAAACCGGGCAGCACAATCATCTTCATTTCGACTGACCTCACGGAATCTTCTTCGGTGCCACCAGAGCTCCTTCTTTACATGTCGACCAAGGGGGCTTTGAACCAGATGGTCCGGGTCCTAGCGCGGGACCTCGCAAGAGAGGGGATCCGGGTCAACGCCATCTCACCGGGGGCTACAAATACTGACTTGTTCCGCAACGCTATGAGCGATGAGCAAGTCCAGATTATTGCAAGCCAGAATCCCTTTAAGAGGATTGGGGAGCCATATGATGTTGCTGCGGCGGTTAGCATGTTGTGGGGGAAGGATAGCACTTGGATTACGGGGCAGGTTCTAATGGTGAATGGTGGTAGCATAGTATAGACTTGGACCGAGAGGTTTCAGATGTATCAGGCAATGCCTTTCTGACTTAGGTGGCGAGGAATAGAATAAGCTTGAAGATGATTAAAATCCTAAGCATCGCGGGTGATAGGATGTCTTAGAAATTCCCCAGATATAGAGGTGAGTATTGACATTTGAAACCCATTCTCATCCGGAAAGATAGTGTCCCAGGCTTGCGTTTTCGCTCCAGCGACGATGACGCTACCACCCAAACGGTCCCCTTCGATTAATTACAAGTGACACAGGTAACGGTTTCTACGGCTATAACCCTAAGTTTTGACTGGGTTTCACCCAAGACTACTTTTGTATGGTCAGGAAGCCTCCCTTCGAAACCTGACTTTGTAACAGGCTCAATCAGGACAGTCAGATATAAGCGCTTTTAAAAAGCGCTCTAATTGGTGGGGTGGGGTGGGGTGGAATACAATCGAGGTGTACAGCATAGGTGACATTGAAGACTGTGAAGGCCCCAAAGGAGGTCAGATTCACTTTCTGCCTCCTGAAAGAGCCCCCCAAAGGGATCCCACAAAAGGGGCTCAACCGCAAAACTAACACAAATATTGAAACGCTCAGTGCTGCGAGCTCCGAGCCAACTCTGAACTCTGACCCGAGGTGGTTGGTGGCGGCCGATAGGACGGAAGATGTGAATGCAACTGAAAATGTTTCAAACACCGCGTTGAATAAATAAGGTGAAACGACAGAAAACATCCCAATATACTGTAGTATCGTCAACTATAATTCTATTTTATCACAACTCTTCTAGCTACCTAGCCTTGCTATATTAAGATACTAGGTCTAAATCCTAACTGTTAAAGGGGTTGGTTGTCAATAAATATATAGAGAGTCATTAGATTTCGCATTCGAGGTGGTGTCTTGGGGTAGCCAGCTCGCATATCAAATACGTTCATATTTGAGGATGAAGTAAGTCTTAACTCTCCATGTACCAACAGATTTAATTCCATACAACCTTGCGTGGAATATTATCAGGCACATTGGTGGCCTACGGTATGATAAATGACATAGTAGGTCAATGGCTAAGACACTAACACTTGTAAAATGGGTGGTGCATTACGACGTCGTAACTGCATTTTAACGGTGCAAGGCCAAAGAAACAAAATCAGATGAATGTGCTACTTCACATCAAATGGGGTAGCAGCTCAAAAATATATCCATCTTGAATTCCCATCAGTAATATAGAATTGGAAAGGAGCGTGGAAAGGGATTATGGAGCCATTACAAACGCGCCTTTCGACGACTCGATGGCTAACAACAGCTCACCGATTATAAGGAGCCCTTTTGAGGAGGAAGAAAAGAGACGGAAGCAAGAGACAGAGAGACGGAAGCAGGCAGAAGAGCCATTTAAGCTCTTAAGCACTATTATAATAGCCAAGGCCAAGGCATCTCGCAGACGGTCTATAGCCAGCTTAGATAACAAATCAATTCGACACAAAAGGGATCCGCGTAAGAGGACACTTGGAAAAGAAGTCGTATAAATATAGCAGCTGTGCGGGCGGGAGTTTGTTTGGGGATACAAATTCGAGAATCGGGACAGGTGTCCATCTCCTGCGGTATGACGCAGGCCCGTGAAAAATCAAAATCCCGCTATAATCTCTGCTGCAACTCGTTCCCCAGAGCGAATGGCGCCATCCATATATCCAGTCCAGTAGGGAGAAGCTTCAGTACCAGCGAAGTGTATCTTGGCGGCAGGTTTCCGTAGGAAAAGTCCATACTTTGTAAGAACACCTGGGGGACAATAGGCAACAGGCCCACCACGTGAAAATTCCTCCAGGTCCCATCGTTGTATGCGTATCTGGCTGACATTGGCCGCCTGGGGTCCGAAGAACTAAGAACTTGACTAGGTCTTCTGTGACGAGCCTTTTGATCTCACTTGGCGAGACCTTGTCAAGGGCTCGCATCTCATCAGCTTCGATAAAACCCATGATAGCACCGAAGCTCTCATTAGCTGGGGTGTTGTCATATGTTGCTCGGATGATACCGGTATCACTCTGCACCTGTCCATTGAACCCTAGTTTTCTCCACCAGGGTTTAGGGTAGATTGCGATAGCCTTGCCGATGGAACCCATAGGCATGCGCTGAGTGAGCTGGTCGCGGCCTGCGGGTAGCAATGGATCATAAGAAATCCGTCCCGCCATCGGAGGAGACATGGCGATGACAACGTGTTTGGCCGACACTTGCACCCTGTCAGATTTGACCGTGTACCGTGCACCATTAAGCTTGATCCCGCGTACTGGCGAGTTCAGGAAGACGTTCGCTTCCCCTAGCCTCTCTGCCAGCCTCGTCGCCAACAATTGAGTGCCGCCATTAATACGGCTATCCTGAGCGGCCCCCTTGCTACCAACAAGACGACTGATTGTTCCGACGTTTGTTTGGTTACCTGCAGCGGCGATGTACGACAGCATGTACAGTAGAGATGGCTCTTCGGTCTCTGTGGAAAGGATAGATCGAATAGCGGTCTCGAAGAGTACAAGTGAATCTTGCAGAGTAATCCGAGATTCAACAAAGGATTTCAGTGTCATACTATCCCACACTGGAGCATTGGCATGATTCCAAGGCGCATGAACGTCCAGTTCACTCGCTAAAGAGTCAAGCTCTGTCAAGAGGCTGGCGAGCTCTGCCTGGGCTTCCGAACCCATGGGGGGCAGGCCACCGGTGGCAAGATCAGCGTCGTAAGGATTAACAGTGCCGTTTCGGTATAAAATTGATTTTCCAGTCGTGTATGTCGAGTATGTTGTCAGGCCAAGTTCATCTGCGAGAGAGAGCACACGATCCTGGGTCGGCCCGACGAACTCCGCACCGAGCTCCTCGACCTCTCCACCGAAGATATGCGCGTTGAGGACACGGCCACCCACGCGGTCACGAGCTTCGAGTATAGCAAAGGTCTTGCCTGCCTTTGCAACATCCTTGGCTGCGGCCAGGCCAGACAAACCACCACCAACGATAGCAACATCGACGTCTCGAATGCTTGCTGCGGACGCGAAAAGGAAGAGAGTAAACGAAATGGGAAAAAAAAGATACATTCTGCCTTTCAATTGCGAATTCCTTGCAGAGAAAGAGTTGATGTGAGTGTATGATAAGAGGAAAATGATGAGGTGATGTTGACCTGGTCAACATCATATTTATATATCACAGAGGACGCACTCTTCGGCAGCTGCCTTTACTGTATCCCGCCCATGTGGGCCATGGAATACCCAGTCGGATCATCTCGCATCTGAACACGATAAGACAGAGACACTACTCCCAAGTTTGGGGGGTGGAGAATGAAGGGAACCGTTAGACAACGGAGCTGGGAGGACTGTATCGGCCAGAAATAGCACCTCAGCCGCGACATAGATGAATACTGTCGAAGTTCAACAAGCGTTGATGTTCACTCAGTGCGCTTAAATCAGGCTAGGGCCATTTTCTGCGTTTGTCGTGGAAGTGCTTTACGTTAAAAATAGATAAAAAAACAACCTACTGTGTGAAAATCAGCATGTCCAGGCCTACTAATCATATGTTGATGCAAGGAACAAATCGTGCGGCTCCATGTACTCGTACCGGCCGTGTTACTGCTGACGCTTGGCACGATATCACGCTAAGACGTATTTGGCAATTTTATGGCGAGGGATTTTGTCGCTGTAGGATAAGGTTTGTGGGCTTGAAATCCTCGGAGCTCCTCTGGCGAAGTGTCACTGCGTGGTCCCAGATCCAAATTCAATTCCGCCAATTAACCGGTGTCCAGAAGTCATACATCTATGAGAGTGTTGTATGAATACCTCATCGGGTTATTGTTACCCGTAGATCCGAAAAATGTGAGAACAGCTCACATCGACCTTTAGTACAGAATACGTTTCGGATCTGGATATGGACGGGATACTACTACCCGCGCTTCCGAAAAGTGGCTTATATTATACCAACCGACGTATCCCATTGCTCCATTTCAACAAAACAGTAAAGCGACCGATTCTCTTACCGGCCTCTCCTGAGGTTGCTCTGTTAGTGTCTCTTCTTTTTCTTGGGTGACCGTCATTATGGCTGCCGTCATTGCTGTGGCCGGGGGAACAGGTCCATTGGGTCGAGCCATTGTTCAAGCCATCAAAGCCCGAAAGAACAATGATGTTTTAATTCTGAGCAGACGAGTAAGTGTAACATCAAATTCAACTTTCCACTTCTTCCCGGTCGTTTCGACACTAAGTAAAACCAGGAAAACGACCAAATCGCGAGACAATCCGGTGCCACTGTCATCGCTGTGGATTATTCCAATGTTGCCTCTCTCTGCAGTGTCCTTGAAGTAAACCAAGTTAGCACAGTTGTCTCGGCAATGACATCTATGGTTTCTGAAGAGCAGTCGCCGGAGATTGGTCTGATCCGGGCAGCCCACGATTCGATCTGCACCAAAAGATTTGTACCGAGTAACTGGTGTATGCCGATTGAAGAGCTGTGAGTCTTCAAGCTTCCGTGGTCCATGGATTGAAAGCTAATTGCATACATAATTTGAATAGGCACCGGAATGTGCTTGGTGCCGTCCCGTCAAAGCTGGAATCCCTTCGTGAGCTTGCGAACACAACCTTGGAGTACACCGAATTCTACACTGGCTTCTTCATGGACTTTTTTGAGTTCCCCGCCATTCCAACTTACCTGTCTCCGTTCGCGCCATTCATAGACTTTGCAAATGGATCCGCTGCTATTCCTGGATTGGGAAACACCCCAGTGGTCTTCACTCATACATCCGACATCGCAAAGTTTGTTGCCGCCGCCCTCGAACTCCCTAGGTGGGATCGTGGGTCCTACATCATCGGCGATAAAGTCACATGGAATGAATTTTTGAAGATGGCAGAAGAAGCCAAGGGTATGTCGGGATATAAACATCTCTTCCTAATTGATTGTCTATTTTGAGCTTCAACTGATTGTGGTGGCTTTCTCAAGGGTGCAAGTTCAAAGTAACACACGATAACCCAGACAAACTCCAAGGCGGCGAGGTTACGTTTCTGCCCTCCTACGACAACCTGCTGAAGTCGATTCCCAGACAACAGCTTGCCTCGCTCTTTGCCGGATTCGGCATCCTGTGTCACGACGGGTCATGGAATTTCGAACCAGAAAACACACTCAACGAACTCTTTCCTGAAATTGAACCTATGAAGGTAAAATATGCCATGGACAGTATCAAGCGGAATTGATGCCGTCGAACAAGTGAGAGTCTACAGATTTTAGATTAACAGATCCTACGAGGTGTTCATTATATGTCGGTGCAATTATAGTAATAAATATTACATTGCATCAGGGTTCAGCGATTGAATATCCGGTGCCTTCGTTAGACCGTTATTATACTTCAGAGGTTTCAGATGCGCTATGAAGCCCATGTGTGCCCCCCGGATTCTTACGGTCTTCTTGCCAAGCCGGCTGGCGATCATTGTGACAGGACCACGCCGGGACCCAGAGTGAATGACGGCGCTCGGAATTGGTCATATCGACCTGAGCCCACGTGTACTTCCTGAGCTCGAATTAAACCAGAAGAGACAATTTCTGCGTTTCAACTTGCGAGATCCACCCATACGGGGGCGCGATATATGAGCGTCCTCGCCTCCCTAACTATAGACCGACCTTTTAGGCCTGCAGGCCGAAATTATGGCCCTAGAAGCGGTAGTGCTCTAAATATGTTGCCGGACTTGGCCTATGGTCGTGACGCCAAACGTTTTCGTATGACTGAAAATGCCGGCGACCCCAAGGACGACTTCTATTTTCACACTGTCCAGGCATCGTGTGAGCAGCGCTTGTGTCACAATTGTGCCCTACGAAGTCTAAAATATAAAGGCGCTTCCGAGGAAAGATGGGGATTAGAAGGTTCGGGTCGCCTTCCTTCGTGATCAAGCGGTTGAGAAGGCCCTGTGCATCGCGGAGGAGGCTTCTGGAATAATGACGACTATCCCAGCAAATGACGGTAAGGACGGTAGACAAGTTAAGAGCCTAAAAAAGGCTAAACAACCAGACTTTACGGTAATAATATCATACGTATTCCTGGCCAATCTTGATGTTGAGGTCAATTACTACCAACGCATTACCTAATTAAATGGTCCAAATATCTAGAAAAGGTTGTTCCCAGAAATGGGGCCGATGAGTATGTAAGCAATGCAAGTCGAGGCATATATAGTAACTGTTTTCTAAAGAAACAACTAATTTGGAACGGAGCCTGAAACTGCAGCCCATGCAATGCGCAAATCTGATTCAACGGTCTCAGCGATTGGGAATCCCTTAGATCTGATGCCCCGAAGAGATTTAATGATGCGGTGTCTCTCTTCTAGTGTCCGACTCTCGAGGGCAAGCAAATTCAATAATGGGGCGTATAACATCGCTTCAAGTTCCACCGTAGTGACACGGGACTCGACACATGCTAAAGCTGCCATTGCACATTGGTGAATCGTCCATTCATCCATCATGTGAAACCTTTGTCCGAGTAACTGCCATCGCGGATCGATAAACATTCTGGAAAGCCCTATCAGGCCCCAGTAATAATATGACATAACAGAAACCGGTGTAGTGCCTTGTCCTCCATATCGACGCGACATAAGAAGAGGAACATAATCGGTAATTCTCTTCTCCAGAAGAATTGCTTCATGTATTATGTTCTCGCCCAGGTTAAGATGATCTATAATGCAACATAGACTGTTAGAACATAGAATAGACAACAAGGTAAATCGAACTCTATAGTCACCTTTGTCTGTCATGGATTCTTCTGACTTTCTTGACCACATTAAAGAGCTAGGTCGACGAAGGATAAGCCATGTAAGAGTCAGTAAGTGTTAGGAATCTCACCGGAATCGTAGTCCAGCCCAACGCTCAGCAAACTCCAGAACTAGTTCGGCCCAGTTGGCGTCGTTATTTCTCCCATGATCGTTAACCGGTAGCGGACTAATCTCAATACTATGCCACCAATCATCACCAAATGAAATATCTTCGCTAAACATTGCAGCTCTAAGAGCATCGCAATGCCGGAACAAGGTTAACAAAGCCTTTTGGAGAGATCCAGGAAATCCGTAGGGCCCTCGCGGACGCACTACGTGGATGTAGATTTTATGCAACAATAGACGCCATCGCATCCCAGATTTGTCTATGATCAACTGTTTATGGGTCAGCCGTGGTCAGAAACACACAAGCGGGATTGGAAGGTTTAACCTCAGCGATACTCAATAACAACGCACAAACGAAGACAGAAACACTTTGATGTGAATTTACTGTCTGCAGCCGACTGAGAGTTTCGGTGCGGAAATTGGTGTAGAACGTGTTGTTAGGGAGATGTCCACCTGGGTCACGAGCTGGAATGGTGTCGATCCGCTGGCGACTAGCATAGGTGGCACCAAGAGCAACAACAGCGTTATGCACAAATTCGTCACAATGGACAAGGTGACCAATAGCATGAAACGAGAGCGAGTCAATAAGTGGTTGAGTACGAGGGTCGACGGCATCAAAAAACACAGTGGTGTAGAGGGAAGAGTGAGCCACCAGTGGCTTCCGGACAGCACCTAGGCATTCCTCTGGCCTGTAGCTAAGTATTGCCATGTCACCAGACGAGTTTGACGGGCTTCGGCAGACGACATGCTTCACTATGCAGTTGGTGCATGGTCGTCGACCGTCACACTAAAGAAGGGTCAGAGACGGTCATTAATCAGTCATCCAGGTCGCTTCTGCATATTGTTTTGTACTCACCGCGGTGTGGTCCAGACGGCAGCGAATGCAACGGTGACCAGTAAGCCTTCCGTCATATGGACCGCACGGCCGCACCGGGTGGTGGGAAGTCCAGCGCTGCATGTGTAAAGGGCTTCAACGAGCACGTACAGATTCGATCTAACAAAATGAAAAGTGATGGATATGAAAAGTGGTGGATACTGCAAACCTGCCTCTCTCGCTCGGGGAGATTATTTCCGAACACAGATACGGCTAGCTTGCAGTGTGACTTCTAAACTTAAAAATCTTGCTAGTTTGTACTATGATCGCCACTTCTTATACCATAATCGGAGATATTCCTACGCGATCGGAGGCTAGGAGCAACCTATCCGAAAGTTACGACTGTGGGGCAGCTTTAGTGATTGGTAACGCGGTGGCTACGCTACAAAACGACAGGCTAAGTTGGCCTGAATAAACCATTGTTCTAGATATAGGGTATTTTAGCGGGCGAGGGGAGGAACAGAATGGGTGGTTTGAGCTGCCTTAACTACGTTACATTAGCTACGACTTACAAAATATGTGGTCCAGGTGGCCTGGGAAGAAGGTGGATGCAGAGCGTCGGATGTTTATCTGTTAGTCCTCCGAGCAAACGGCCCAAGGGGTGGGCTTGCGGGTCTGACTACCGATAACTATCCGTTTCTGCCTTTCCTTTGCCAACTACGACGTTACCGGGCTAGCCGGCGCAATACCCGAGGTTTGCAAACTGTACAAACATGCCAAACAGAGGCGCGACCCTAGGAAATCACGGATTGTCGATTGCATTCTTCGTTGAACCGCAGTGTCTTGCGCCAATACAAACTGTACAAACATACAAACACTGGGGACTTCCGAGTTGCCGCGCACTTATTCGTTGAACCACCTCGAGAAGGCAAATCTTTCACTAGTTCATACCATGCAAACGTACCAAACGGAAAAGTCTAGATCGTTTATAGTTCACAGATGTAAGGATCATGCTTTCGAGCGCGTGAGTTTTCGAGGTATAAATATGCCCCGATTTCTAGATGAGATTTGCCAGGATACAGCGGAAAATTTCTCTTGACAATCAAGCACTTTTGCAAGCAAAGGTAATTTCCCATAGCTCTTTGCCCGTTTAAACTTCCCAAGAGGGTCTTCAAACGAGCCTAGGTTCCAATCCATGTTCTTTGGATTCCGGTCAAAATCAAGAGGTGAATTTTTTGAATCTCATCTGGCATTTACTGATTTTTGGTCTTAGAAGTTCATCGAAGAAAGCGACTTCACATCCTAAGTCTTTACCCGAACGGAATCACTACATGTGAGTCAAAATTGAAGTCTTTATTCTGTAAAAGACAAAAAGAAAATTAACTCATCCTTAAAGTGACATAATGTCTCGCCTCCTTCTACAGAGGATGTATCGATTCGTTGAGTTCATCAATTCAGGCGATGAAACCATAGGACAAGAGGTGGTTTCCGAATCAGCCGTGTTTCACGTTCCATTTTCGGATACCCCACAGAAAGGATTGTCTGGATACATGCAAATCCTTGGCATGATGCGCTCTGCTTATCCAGATATCCAGTGGACACTTGACGATACAGTTAGCGAGGATGATAGAGTTGTAGCCCAGTTCACTCTGCGTGGTACTCACGAAGGCGAATTCTTTGGTGTTCCGGCTTCGGGAAAGAAAATACAGGCACGAGCTATAAACATCTATCGATTCCTGGATGGAATGATTGTGGAGGAAACTGGCTTGCCTGATCTGTTTGGGATAATGCTGCAAATTGGGGCTATTAACCCTCCAGTTGCTCATTAGGCAATTTCTAGGGCGCTTTGAGAATGTCACTTCGAGATTTCAATTCATCGTCGATATTGTACAATAATTAGTGCGACCTAGTAGTTAGGCTCAATACAAATGACGTAAGGCGATATAACCATAGCTAGAGTAAAGAGCACAATTCGCAAATTCAATTTCTAATGTTGAAAACCCGAAATATGCCCCTTCTGAGAACTTCCGCAGTAGAAGTGTGTGTATTTTGATTTCGACGGTCGGGCTTCCTTAGATCTTCTGAGACGCACTTTTAGATGGCTGGTGAATTGGTCATGTTAAATGCCAAGTGACGGTTGTCACCTGAAAGTAACAAAGTGGCAGGCCCAAAGAGAAGAAAGAGTTTTCCTGTGATGAGCGGATTGTTGGTAATTTTTCGTCTGAGTACAGTACCGTGTTGGCAAATCATCCCAACAGACAGCGGAGGGACCGTTGGCCAAAAACCAAAGTATATGACGAAGGTACTCTATAATAACACCGGTACGTGTCGCCTTCGCGCACCTACTCTCTGTGACCGGTCAGCCTCCACGTAACACTAGCAAACTCACTATATAGCCAATAAGTACCGATGCCGAAACTACACTGAGACCCGGTAGATTAAGTGGAAGGAGGGAGAGCCGGCAGATTTCCTCGATAAATTGACCAAGCTAGTCTTCTGGAAGCTTCCGACGTGACAGCATTGTTGTGGTCTTAGTCTGTCTTCTACGTAGGCTACGGAAACCTTCTAGGCTAGTTGCGATACAATTCAGAATTACTTGTGTTGTTAGCGCGCCGTAACATGTTAATATTGGGACTGCTAGGCCCAGGAGGTCTGTAGTGGTGTAGATTGAGATCTCATCTTTCCACTAATAGGTGAGTCCTATTTGAAATATTCAATAAAAACACCCGCGAGTGAATCTGGCGAGATCATATAGTGCACATGACCCCGGGGAATTTGAAGGACGGCTCTTCTCACTTCATCCCCAATAACTGAAGTGGGAGCTGTGCCTAAGCCAGAAGATGTCCTTCCAATAGCCGGAATAATCTTCTCCGCGACCGCCTTCATCGAATCCATATCTATAGTCGCACTCGTATATTGCCTCAGCTCGAATTCGAACCACCAAAGACTGTTTGCGCGAATTTCGTCTCCCTTATCCGAGGATATGCAGGACTGCATTATTTCAGCTTCTGCTGAGTCGGAAAACCCAGACGTGAAAACTTCTATTGCGGCATCGGGTCCCCAAGCACGATAAGTATCGTAGATATGGTGAATGAACCCGGCTGCGCTTCCACGAAGGTCATCTGGAAGTACCGTAAATGCAGGCGGCTCATGCACTATTGCGCTCTTCACCACTTCCGGGTGTCGAGCAAGTAGCGTCAACGTCACTATAGCGCCGGATGATGTCCCAAAGACGTAGGCCATTTCTGAAGAGAGATGAGAAATCAACCGCTGGGCATCATCCGCATCTGTCTCAAGCCGGTACTGAAGTTCTTGCGGCCCGTGAAGCAGACTTTTGGAATATCCGCGGCGATCCCAGCAGACCACAGTGAAACGATCAGAAGCAGCCTCTGCTACTCCATGAAACACAGATCCGCGTCCGTCTGCACCGGAGATGCACAGTAGTAAAGGACCGGTCCCAAAGACTTCATAGTGAAGCGTGGCTCCAGGAACATCAAGTGAAGGCATGCTCGTTCGGAAAACCGAGACTCTCACTGCACCTGATAGACAGGGTTCAGGGGAATGAAATGGAAGTTATTGCCGTTTTAACTCAAAAATTCCTTCCAGTGAAAAAGGAAAAGAAGGGGGGTAACCAAAGCCTTTTGCCGCGAATGTAGATTACTAGGTGTTGGGGTCGACGTATTTTATATGCTACACTAGTATCCAGCAATGTTCCTAGGGACGTCATTAACCAGTGTTTGCACTGGCCCACTCACCAAAACCCGCGTAGGTGGCGGAGCATGTTTGCATTCACAGCTCCGTGGGTTTCGGTGCAAATTTGTACATTTTGCGCTAATTCTTGCCAAAAACGCATGTCTTTAATTGGTGGTCGTCCAATTACAACCTTTCTGAGACCTGGTGCAAACATAAGGTACCGTCATCCGATATATTTGAAACTTCCGATAGCAACGCGATTGCTACAGCAAGTTCCTTCGGCGTCGGATATGGACCCGACTGAATACAAAAAGGAACACGCCCTAGCTTAACAGCACCGTTTCTATCCGATACCGGTCAGACAGCTACGTATAAGTCCTCTACAGAAGATATAGCGCTTCAACATGGCACTCTCGGATGCAAGGATTGATGTTCATCATCACTATTTACCTCCTGTCTACGTTGATGGTATGTTTTGGGCACTATCCTAGTGAAATAACCGCATTGTTAATTGCTGATACAGCGTTAAGGGGTGGCGGGGGTGATCCATCTGGTTGGAAGACCCCAGACTGGTCTCTTGAAAGCGACCAAGCCTTGTGTGAGAAGCATAATATCCGTACGGCTATTCTCTCAGTTACCGCTCCAGGCCCAGATATTGGCGAGGGACTAGAGGCAGCAAAGATTGCAAGGAGATGCAATGAATGGGCTGCGAGACTCAGGAACCAGAATCCTCAAAGATACGGCTTCTTTGCGGCGATTCCGTCTCCGCTGAAGGACATGCAACTCGCCCTGTCGGAATTGGCTTATGCGCTTGATGACTTGCACGCCGATGGTGTGACCCTATTTACTCGCTACGGAAGTGGCAGACACTATCTTGGCCATGACGTCTTCAAGCCATTGTGGGCAGAACTCGAAAGACGGAAAGCAGTTGTGTTCATACATCCTACAGCGGGTATTGCGGCGGGGCCGATCAACCCAAGGCTACCCGCGCCTATGATTGAATACCCCCACGAAACGACACGCTGTGCAGTCGACCTTATCACTTCCAGAACAATCCAACAACACCCTAATTGCAAAGTTATTCTTTGCCATTCCGGTGGCACGCTTCCCTTCATTGCCATGCGTCCCGCTGTCCTATTGTCTCACGCAAATTTGTCCGCAATGACTCCGGAGGAATTCATTGCCGACGCCAGGAAGTTCTACTACGATATTGCGCAGAGTAGCTCTGAGGTGATTCAATTCTTGACGCAATTTGCGGATCCTGACCGAATTCTTTACGGCAGTGACTACCCCTATTGTCCACCGAAGACAATTGACTTTTTCACGCTCGACCTGGACCTGTCAAAGCTCGATAGCGAGCAGATATCGAAAATCAAACATGGTAATGCCTTGTCGTTGTTTCCTCGTTTGATTGCTAGACAGCTAGATAAATGAAGAATTCTGGCTTCCGCGATAGGTTATTGGTGGCAAGTACAAGTGCACGGTATTACGAGAGAACCACTGGATGTGTGAGGAGATAGGCCCAAGAAGACAGTGGCCTTGAAATATCATGTGCTGGAGAGGGGTTTAGTAGATCAAATTTTGAACTAGAGGCTCGAAGGGGATACTTCTCAATGAGCAAAGTAAAAAGCTATCATTAAGATTGTTGTTCACGAGCCAGCTTTTAATTTTGATCGAGCCACCCCATAAGCCAGTGCTTTTAGTCAAGGGATGGTCTTGACCATCATGAGCATCACTAATGAACATATCGTGATGGTCGATCTTAACATCCCTATGACAGTGGAAGCCAAACATGTAATGGGCCTCTTGAGGAGATTTCTGCTAGCAGCAGCTGTTCTCTCTCTGCATTACAGCAGTTCACCAAGTTGGTAAGATATCAATGATGATCCAATTCTAACCTCTCGTATTATCATTTTCTCACCTGTAAACCGTATAACGCCCAGAAGTATGCGAGTGCCTTTACACGAATCTCGCATGACTCCTAATCTCAATAGTAACGTGATTTAGCCTCCAAGCAAGCGGGCATCAAATTCCTGCCCAGACTATGAGTGGGCACCGAGCCCCACATGTTTTGGAATCATCTGCGTTTCATCATCATAACCGTTTCCAGCGGAACCAATCAATTACCTCGCAAAGTAATTAGCCAGTCCTACAAATGGCAGAATAATTCCTCATCCTCGTATATCGCCGTGACAAGTAGTTCGTTTGAACAACGTCTCTGAAGCAATATATAAATCGTTGCGGATATTTTTAAATAACTAAACCATTTTGAGACCCTCTCGTCTCTTCTACTGTCAGATTTCCTTTTTATTCATAAGCCAAAATGCAGATGAAGGCGATGGTTAAGGGTCGTATCAACTACATGTGTGATATGGTGGGTGTGAGTTCAAAGCCAACCGAAGAATATAAGCAGGAGTTAGCGAGTATTATTGCAGCCAACCCAGTGGGTAAGCATCCTGACGTTAGAAGCCTCTTCGAGGGCCATACATCGCTCGGTTGGTCTGACTGTCCTAGTTGTTTGCAGCAAGGAACCGCGTCCACTCTGCCAATACACAAAATCTCTTACTTTTGGGGCCAAATATCAGATATTCGAAGTCATAAGAATTAGTAAGTCCCTGCAGGTTCGGGCCTGCTGAAGGCCCTGAAGTCAGACACAGGCCAAAAGACAGTTCCAAACATTTTCATCGGCGGTATTCACATAGGTGGCAACTCGGATCTGCAAGCTCGAAAATGCTTTTTGAAGAATATGTTGTTGGAGGCGGGTGCGCTTTAGGCCGAGGGACATGGTGCAAATTACTTCGTGGTAGTATGGTCAGGTTTTATCCCGAGCATAGAGGCTTATTATGTATTTTATTGGTGGCCTCACGCAGCCAGGCCACTGCGTCTTCGATCAGAATCCCTGGCCTTGTAACCAGAAAAGCCACGTCCAGAGAACAGGACTAGAGAAGGCTGAGCTATCATGCGTCATGGGCGAAATCTTCCTTGCCGTAGATGAGCCTATTGACTTAGATAGACTTTGGAACGCACTGGCAGAGAAGACTTATATGCAAGAGGTTTTGAACATCCGGAGGCAGAGATGATACAGATACAATGGCAGAAACATGATCCAACTTAGACAGACATCCGCTTCCTAGTTGAGAGCAGGAATATATAAATCCAATACACAAGATAACCTGCAGTACCCCTCGATGCCACACGTCCATCGAAGCATAGTGGGATTATCCCATCATATGATACCCGGAAAGTTTCGCCGCTTGCTTCTTCTGGGACTGGTCTGGCGGCGTCTACGGCTCTCCTAGGATAGCGGGTTCGCGCCCGGGTGCGCTGATGGCCGGATGCTGGGCCACTTTGATGGAGGTTGGCGAGGCAGGGTACCTTGAAGCCTGCGTGAAGATTTTAGGCACGACGAAGAAGATTGTGGAGAGGATCCGAGAGACACCGTCTCTGGGTGGTGAACTGGAGGTCTTGGGCAAGCCCCTAGCCTCCGTCATCGCCTTTACCGCCAAGGACCTTAATATTTACGACATTGCTGACACTATGACGGAGAAGAGCTGGCACCTGATGCGCTGCAGAATCCCGCAGCCGTTCACGTTGCTGTCACCCTGCCGATTGCCAAGGCGTATGACAGGCTTCTTGCCCATTTAGAGACAGTTGTAGAGTCAGAGAAAGAGAAAGAGAGGGTACGAGCAGTTGATGGTAGGGGTCTGGAGGGCAGGACTATCGGTACTTCGGCCGCATCATATGGCGTTGCAGGCTCTCTGCCGAACAGGAGCGTTGTTGTGCATTTAGCCAACGGGTTCCTGAATTTACTCTACAAAGAATGAGACGGCGCATTCGGCAGCGTAGTCGGAAGGGGGAACATTGGGATTGTCAAAAATGAAACGCTTGATCTGGGCCGTGCCTGTTGCAACGATTGTTGATTGGAAAGTGCCGGATCAGTTGACTAGATTTTTTCTTTCCGCATTTATTCTGGTGCGTACCTACCTTCCGATGCTTGTCGTGCACTGGGTGCGCAGGACCGAAGGGTCTTTGGTCCTTGACCTTTGAGACAGTTGGGCGGTCATTGTCGAGCAGAAGAACCTCATCATCATCCTCAAGTTCAATTAGCTGATCCGATGTAGCCCTTCTCTTTTCAAGCGGTCACCCACTAGGATGTTGGATATTTTCTGCAGGAGCTTCAGCAGTAGAGGGGTTTTCTTCGTCATCAGTGATTGGATCAAATTCTTCCTCTTCTTCCGGACGTCCTCCTCTTCCCTTGCTTGCTTCTCTTGCGTAGGAAGATACTCATGAATCGGGGCAAGTTGCTCTAACTCCACATCGAATTTGTTCTACGCATAGACAACATCAATTCCTGGATTGTCTGTGGTTTCGGCGAGCCCCGGCAATAATGGCAGATATCGCGAGCAGAGTTGAACAACTGCTCAACGCCAGAACCGCCGGTCGGCGTTGTAAGGACGCCTCGGGCAAGGCTTGTTACAATAGGATATTCATTCTAGTGTTCTTTCAAGAAAATGAGAAATGTTGCTTCGAGAGTAGCTAGTGAGGTTAGTATGAGAGAAGAAGCATACGAGAAGTAACAGATGTAAAGACCGACTTACTACTTCCAAGATACTGCGTAAGCCCTTCTGGAGCTGTCGCTTTTAACTGAAAAGATGCAGCAGATCTTAGAAGGATATCAATATCAGAGATGCCTTTACTTATAGGCTGGAGAGTTGATTTACATATGTTAGCAGGCCGTAAGTTTAAAACTCCACTAAGGAATATCTATCCTATGCTGTATGGTCAACATTACTGCGTATTTTATTTGATGTTAGAAAAATAGGATCCAAAGGGCTTAAAATCGAGATATATTGCTTCTGATAGAAAAAAAAAGATTCTAGGCAAATTTTGAAACTAAAATATGTCATGGTTTCGAGATACGAAGTTGTCAATTACCAATTATCTCGTTTACTATGGTGTTTTGGAGTTATTTGTTCGGCCGTGTTATACGTTCGGACGTGGATTACGTTAGAGTTTATTCCAGAGACAGGTTGTAGGTTGGCAGGAGATCGATCGGCCTATTGTCTGTGAGGTAAGCGTCTCGTGAAAAGGCATTATGCCATCGACGAATACAGATATACCTAGAAATAACAGACTCTCGAGGGGCATGAAAATCGACAGACGGCCAAATTTGTCAACTAGGTGGCAGTGTGATTTCGAATTCTTCGGTGATGATAACTACGGAGCCTTGACCCGCGTACAAGGTTCCAAATATTGAGCAAAAGGGGGAGAATTATGACATGTTGTCTCCATATAACTTGATATGGCTTAAGCTGCGCTAAGGCCCTTTTAGGAAGTATTGTCGCGACGCACTTGGATAAGCACATGAATCCGCAGGCCCCTATATGACCTGGCCAGAAGCGGCCATTCGAGCCATCACATGTAAGCTGGATGCCATTGTTTCCAACAGATTTTCGGCAGGGGGTGCCCAGCGGGGCGACAGGTTAGGGGCACCGTAGTTTGTAGTTCGGTGTTAACTTACGGCTGAGATAGGCAGGGTCCGGGGATCCTTGTAATCCCGAGATTTGTTGCCATGGCTTGAGCCTCGGAGCTTGAAATTGATCAGTCGCCGCCAGTAACCCACGTTCCATCCACGCCGCATTTTGCAGCCGGATAGGATCCACTTCAAGGTGTTCCCAGTGGCCCAAACTAGTTACTTCTAGGCAAGAACCCCGTTAGATTCGGAACACTTGGGCGCCGTCTCAGATGAGTCTGTTCCGAAACGTATCTTTGATATATGAACCTTGATCACCGGAACACCGATAGTCCGTGTAGACTTGCGTATGTCCCGGTTCCGAAGATCTCGGCGTTCGGGATTTTTCTCGACGCAACAGCCAGTCGACGGGAAATGGCAATAACTGAGGCAAGGGGTATTGGATGACAACGGATAATTCTAATGTCTTCTTGGTCCGCATGTGGCGGAGAGTGGAGACGCCGACGACTCGAAGCACACTGTTGTTTTCCAAGTCCATTGAACCGGGCCACTTGGGCACATCATCGGGGTAGATGTGGCGGCATCGATTCCCCCAGAAATCCGAACACTCCGCCTCCGCGCTAGCTACCACAAGACTGAGCTCTCGCTATTTGTGATAGTCCGAGCTGGCATAGTCGGACTCTAGCGCTTCTTGCTACTAGCACAGGTGCTAGGTACGGCCAGACCAGGGAGGCGGTAAGCCAGCGTTCATTAGTATTCGGAACATGCTACATGCCCCACCTATCTCTTCTGCCAGTGAAGGGAAGTATTGTGTTCCAAGTACGAACGGCCACTGTATGTTAGTAAAATTCATTGACCGTAGACGACATTCGCGGGAAAAGGGGTGGGTCTACTAATTGATGCAAACCTCGTTGTTGGGGTCTTAGCAATTATAGTAAGTAGCTAGCGAGGATGTCAGCTTAACATGGCAGGAAATTTTCAAGGGGGTACACCCTTTTGTTAGGCAATCAAATTACCGAATACATAACTAATCACACTGATGACGAACTAGCCCTAAACATGCCAAGTGTTCCCTACTCGGGACTCAGTAGACGAGCCATAAAAGCGCCGTACCGGCACATGGCTCGCCGATTCTAGCCAGCGCCACACTGTCGGAATCAGCAAGCTTCAGACGATCTCCCTGCATCATAACAGAAAACTCCACTTAACACTAGTCGAATCAAAACATTAAATTCTCTTTCAATCACTCTAAACCATTTTCGGTAAAAACCACGCGAGATCTGCGCGCTAGAAAAATGACATCGACTGGGTCCTCGAGAGGGGTGCGAACACGGATACTTCAATTTTCGTTTCTATCGCTCGGTCCCTTATCTTCCGATAGGTAACATGCATTCGGATAGTCTAATTAACGTGGCTTATAGTCCGGTTCGACAATGGGTTGACCTTACCAAAAATAGCTTTAGTCCGTGTCGTTTTTGCTTTCGAGTATATAAACCTCTTTTCAGTCATATAACAATTCATAGCATTCGACTGTGTTTAATCTTTGCAAAATCTTGAAAACCGATGTTCCAGACCTCACTCCAGGGACGAAGGATGTCAACAATAACAAAGAGTTCGCTTGAAGGCACTTGTCATGCTTATGTTGCAGGCATTTCAACTCCTTACGATTATGCTCCGTCTCTAGCTGCAGGAATAGCTTTCTGTGCCATTTTTGGGATTTCTATGTTAGCTCACGTTTATCAAGGCTCTTGGGCCCGAATGTGGTGGTGCCACTTATTTTCGATCGGATGCCTAGGTAAGCATCTGCTCCTTGTGTCCTGACGCGGATTCAGAAGGAAACGTTCTCTTGTACTGACGTATTATTTCACATTCATTTAGCGGAGCTAATAGGATGGGCGGCTCGCACCTGGTCTGCCTTGTGCCCATATGAGTTGGAGGCCTTCAAAATACAGATTGCCACACTAATCATAGGTATAAACTATCCAAAAATTCCGAGCCTTTCACCCAAGAGTCTATCAGATGTCCTAACGCGATTTACTTTAGCACCCACCTTCTTCACTGCCGGTATATACATCATACTTGGCCGGCTCATACATTTCTTTGGACAGGAATCATCTTTACTTAGCCCTAAGATGTACTTTGGGGTTTTCTGCACCTGTGACCTGATATCGTTAATCGTTCAGGCAGCCGGTGGCGCCCTTGCATCAGCAGCCCTTTCGGACCCAAGTGGAGACACGAAGCCAGGAACGGACATAATGGTCGGGGGTATAATCTTCCAAATGGTAGCCATTACTGTGTTTACCATTTGTGCGGCTGACTTCCTGCGCCGCGTCGTCCGCCATAAACTCCTTTATCTGATGACAAGCGAACTGAAATCACTTGTGTCTGTCACTGCTCTTTCCGTGGCATTCATATATATTCGAAGCATTTATCGAACGGTTGAGCTGTTGCAAGGTTGGACTGGATACCTTATAACGCATGAGAAGTACTTCATCGCGTTCGATGGAGCTTTGATGTTTGCAGCAGTGGCCGCGTCCAACGTCTTCCATCCCGCTCGGCTGCTACCGACTGATAATTCTGCATAAAATCCAGCTCAAGGAATCAGGCCTTTGCATCTGCGAGTCATGAAATGCCATAACATTACTCGTGACAATTACGCTACCGGCATGCGTACTCTTGGTCTTGGACCTGGCGTGCACGATGAAAATAGAGTAGAGTCTTGTACGGGCACTCGTATGATTTTTCTTTTTTTTCGGTGGGAAAGAGGGGGGAGTTGATGGCTGTTGGCTGTCCACGGATGCATCCATTTGTGTGGGTGACCACCCCAAAATCCCCACTGTTGTATCAGGTTGCGTCGCGCTGAATGAGAGACTAGCCAAGTTTGAGGTCAACGACATTGTTTCGTAGTTTTTATTGCCACTCGGAGAACAAAAGTACAGTGCAGCAGAGACGTGTCACCTGACAAATATTTACATGTTAATCGGTGATCGCCCTAAAATGGAGATAAAAATGCAATCTAGGAAGCCCCGATTCACAATTGTGTAGGTGCTTGGCTCATCTAGAGCAGCTCAATCTCAACTCATTGCACTAGAGATATCATGCATATGAGTTGCACAGTTAGTTGTCCCTAGAGATTCAGCCTTCATTCGCTGTTGCTCACATCTAAGTCAACCGTACCTAGATTTTGCACGTGTTCTCCGAAGCCTATGTCAATTCATTCTGTCGTATCTCGGAACCAGATGCAATCACGCAGAAAAGTCTACATCGTATTAGTTAAAAGCTCCAGAGGATGCTCTAGGGTCCTTCAATTACGGGTTCTCTCATAGTCATCTTTCCCAGGCGCTTTGATGAGGCTTAGATGCCCAGGAGCCCGCTTGGAGCTGAGTATTTGGAGTACTTAGGTAGAACCAAAGAAACGTGTACTTTAATATTATCACCGCTTTTATCTGAGATAGTTGGTGCTGAAGGGATAGAGGTGGTGAAGGACGAGGTGACTGAACAGAGCCAAAAGGAAAACCGACGTGCTGCTAGCCTATATTAGCAGCTAGTCTATATTAGCATTATAGCTATCCTGTGTAGATATACTACAGCGTGATGTGTTCAACAGCCATATAGGCACATAAAAGTCTGGACTTGGTGTTCAAATTGCATTTCTTTTTTATTCGACCGAGGGAAATATGGTCGGGATCCTAGCTGGGTGAGATTTCCCTAGTGTATAGAGCAAGTAGAGCGATACATTCTTGATAGATCTTAGTAGTATCCTTTTCAAGCTAGCTGATCAAACGCATGAGACCTAGCGACAGGTATTTCTCCTTGTCCTTTCTGGGTATCGACCCCTCCTTCTCACCGTCTCCAGCCATCTCTTGAGCGTCTGAGATCCTTCGCCGCGTTAGGAGGGAAGGTACTTGCAATGGTCCAAGGACCTCAGGGCCAGAAGAAGCCTCACGAAGTTGAAGTCGCGCCATTTCGTGTTCTCGGGAATGCGGGCAGCGTTGCCGAGACCGGAGACTCTTCTGCGTGTCATTAGCTTGAGATTGCAAGGGATAGAGTAAAACATACGCATCACTTGTGGCCTTGTTGAGTATGATCTTTGATTGGGATGGCATCATCGGCTCGTACCCAAACCTCAGAACTTCCATAATTCCATTCAGCTATAAGTACGTGACTATAATCAGGGCGTTTGGTAACAAACTTGTAGGCCTCTTTAAACTTGTCACGGATGCATCTTCGTTCCTCGTAGGGAAGGCTTCAGAACACTTCATGGTCATTACGATCTCCTTCGACGATTTCTTATACAATATACAGGATGTATCCGCCGGGGACAAGGTCATTTTCGTCTTGCTTATCAGTTTGATATCCTAGGAGTCTGAGGGTAGCAACACACCCTTTTTCTGTCAAATGTTTTAAGGCTTGCAGCTCCACATAGCCTAGTTCTTCACCGACGGCCTGCTTCGCTCGAGTGCTCGAGTCGTCAAGTTCAGTTCCATCCCAAGCAATTTGTTTATAGATGCGCATAAAGGCGAGCTTGTCGTCCTTAGCACCTTCAATCTGACAAAGATATTTTCCACCGCGCCCATGCCCTCCTTGCCATCCTCTTCGGTAATCGGGCACAGACGCTCACTCAGCTTTTCCTTAATGATCCAGTTACGGCGGGGGTAATTGGTAGAGTCCGAAGAGCCTGTAGTCATCCTTTCACCAATCACCTTGGGAAGAACTGGACGGCGTTCCATTTCGGGCATAGTGTGAAAGGGTAAAAGATGAGAAAGTGTAACCAGATCAGGTCGGTGAGGGGTGGTAAGAGATGAGAAAGCAAGGTGAAGATAGAAATGACGACAAAGTGTCAGGTCAATTTTAAGGCCATGCAAACATACCCTGGAGAGCACAGAAATCGCTACCCAGGTAGGTACCGGTTAACCCGTGAGAGCTGACCAAAAGCCTCTCATTCGAATCCAGCAGGGGATATGTTACTCGGATTCCGAGGCTCAACACCACAACTAATATCAATGTGTCTTTCATGACCGATATAATATGTTAATATAGTAGACTGGATGACCTTCATGGTATTTATGATGAGCCAGGTCTTTAAAGAAAGAGTACTCCATTCAAAATACTAAAGATGGGGGGAGAAAGCAAGCAAGATCTGGCTGGGCCGTGAGAGAGCTTTTATACCAACGGTCAAGCAGACAGTGCAAACCACCGACCTTCTAGCTAAACAAAAGGAATAAAGAATGCAAGCAAACAGAGCAGAAAATCTAGCATGCGATCTGGCATGTGATCTAGCAGGTTACAATGCATGCATAGATCCAGATCGTGACAGTATTAGCATTGGAATCATGGGAATGGACAAAATAGATCTGACCCTTGGAATCCGCGCAGCATAGCATCGGAATTATGCATGGTCTTAACTCCCAAGGTCTCCTTGGTAAGGCGCCCTAAAAGTCCCGACGCCTGATCTTCGATCTAATGCATCATACAAGAAAATTTCCTCAATCTGGACCTAAAATCAATTTTCAGACCTACTGTGTGCTCGTTATAGGGCCAATTGTCGATCCTCTACAGGTAGACGACTATCCCCGGTGGCTCGAGCAGGCCTATGCTATTTTCCGAAAGATAGTTAAAGGCGCAAACAAGTGCCCAGATTCCGAGGGTCTGAGCTCCAAAAGCTGGATGATACTCTAGGAGATCAGCTCAAATGCTCTTTCTCAGCAGTCCGGTGCAGTTCCTCGACTGCTTCCCCAGCGACCAGTGAGATCCTAGCGTAAATCCAGTGATAGATCGTGATCAGCTTCAATATCAACTTCGCTTCATACAACTTGGATGACCTGAGCAGATAAAGCAATCTTTTCGTTTTGCTAACTTGCTTTCAGAAAACATAGTGAAAAGTAGGAAAAAAGTTTTCGATGAGTCGGACGGAACACGGAAGGATATATCCGCTTCCGGGGAGATCGGCTGAATTCGCTTTCAACATCACTTCACTACAATAAAGGACGATGGAAAATTGAACGATCTCCTATCTAATACCATGCAGCATATAGAAAACATTTTCACTATAAGAACTGCTTCCTCCATGTTCAGTTACTCTCAACAGATTTTGCAGTAAAGACCTTTCCCAGCTTCGGACACGGAGAGTGGGCCCGGATCAGGAACGGAACAGGAGATCCTATTCCGTGCTCACTCGAAGACGCCAACAAAACTTTTTATAGGTGAGGTTAGAGTCTTACTTTTTCCAAATACACTCCACCTAATGCGGGGAAGAAATAAAAATCTGGGGGATGTCTTTTACATCTTTAATGTGACACAAAGACACCATTCAAACACAAGGCCAAAGAATGCCTCTACACACTGTCCTCCCTCCCCAGTAGGCGTGAAGAAGCAGTCGACCAGAAGATCACCTCGATCAGTATGAATATTCCGCTCCAAATTTCAGCTTTATCTACATCTCCTATCATTCCTTCACTCTGCCTGTCTCGTAGTTGTCTTCCCCAGACAAGGAAATAGTGGGGCCGCGGCAAACAGAGATTTCTCCAGACCTCGGGATTGTCGATACTCAATGAGTCAACGTCAACTCGCAACCAACCTCTTAATCATACCAACATGGAGAAAGATATGGAAAAAGACATGGAAAGGGACATGGAGAAAGACATGGAGAAAGACATGGAGAAAGACATGGAGCTAGAGAAGTCACAAGACCCCTTTGCCGGAGAAGAGGTTGGTGGAGTGCGTTACAGGACTATGAAGTGGTGGTAAGTCTACACCTGCATGATTCGCAGTAAGCCAATGCAGAAAGCTAATCAATTTACGTTCAGGAACTGTGCAATTTGTACATATACCCCAATTGGACTAAATTCGATCATGGACCACATCTAACCAGCAAATAGTGATGATTGCTCAGTCTGTCTCATTGGGAGTTCTCTCTCTCCCATCCTCGATGGCAGTCTTGGGCTTGGTCCCGTACGTCTGATGACAACTTCTCCTTTTTGTGAACTCGTGCTAATTCTGGCAGTGGCTGTATCATTATTGTTGGGATTGGAGCTTTGACGACCTACACCGGATATGTTGTCGGCCAATTCAAATTGCGATACCCTCAGGTCCACAACATGTCAGATGCTGCAGACATCTTATTCGGCCCTTGGGGTCGCGAGATTGTGAATGTCGCCCAGGTTATTTGTTTTATTTTCCTTATGGGCGCTCATGTCCTCACATTCTCCATCATGATGAACACCCTTACTAACCACGGGGCTTGCACCATCATTTTCTGCGTGGTGGGGGCCATCCTCTGCTTCGTTCTAACCCTTTCAAGGCGGCTGGAGGAAGTTTCATATCTGGGAATTATCTGTATGACGGAACTCTTTTCTGCTGTGGAAACTATACTAACAACTACTAGCCTCACTATCAATCTTCACAGCCGTGATGATCACCATGATCGCGATTGGCATTGAAGTACCCGATCCTAGAACATACGCTATTACCCATCCGACTCTGATGAACGGCTTCTCCGCGACTCTTAACATCGTCCTTGCCTATTCCGGCCATATGTCATTTTTCAGTTTCCAGTCGGAGCTGGCGGATCCAAGGGACTACCCGAAGGCGCTGATTGCCTTCCAAGTAACTGACACATCGCTGTATCTTGTTACTGCCATCGTGATTTACCGATACGCCGGGCCGAATGTCCTCAGCCCCGCCCTGCTGAGTGCAAGTGAACTGGTTTCGAAAATCGCATTTGGCATTTCCATTGGTACGATCGTCATTGCTGGAGTGGTCATTTGCCACGTCGGTGCAAAGTGCATCTACGTGCGGCTATTCCGTGGCACCCATATGATGAGCGAGAGGTCTTTCCGTTCATATGGCACTTGGGTACTGATCACTTTCCTCATGTGGGTTATTGCGTGGTTGATCGCCAACGCGATCCCCGTGTTCAATGACCTGCTTAACATGATCGCGGCGGCATTCTGCAGCTGGTTTTCGTTCGGTCTGGAGGGTCTCTTTTGGTTGAAGATGAACCGCGGGCAGTACCTTTCAAGCAAACGGAAGATGGCCTTAACTGCACTTAACATCTTCCTTGTTGCCCTGTGTTGCCTGATTGTGAGTTCCTTACTCTGTACTTTTTGGTTCACGGCAATTTGATACTAACTAATTAGTGTGGAATGGGTCTCTGGGCCACTGGAACGAGCATCCGGATCAATGCGCAGTCTGCACACAAACCTTTCTCCTGCGCATCCAACGCTTAAACGGCTCTTTGGTGTCTTGGTCTTTACAGAATATCCCTATATATTACATGACTACGATAGACTTCAAATGTACAATTACTTCCTGATTGTTTATATAATTCGATGCTATTCAATGATCCATAACCCGAAGTTTCGTTTTATATATGTGTTGCCCGTTAATCGGCAGTGAACTACGTTAATTAGCTGAGGATTGACGTGCAGAAAAGCGTAGAACGGTAGTTGGATGCCATATTGTCTCGCTGGGCAGCTCTCTTGACGACCCCAAATAATTGTATCCATTTCCCGCTTCAAAAGATTTCCGGTAGATAATTTGAAAATTGTCTCAACGCTACGATCATCGGGTAGGACTGAGGATGAGATTGAGTTGCTCCTCCAGATCCCATGGCTGCTGGGCTTGCCGGATATCGTAGCACTACGACGTCGATCAATAAAAGGTGGATTTACCAAAAGTTGACCAGTGGTTCAAGTGAGTGACCTTGACCACATCACCTGATTTGGGATTGTTCCTGACGCTATGCAGGTGCCAAGGGACCTCGCCACCACCCACGGGCATACCCATCCGGGCCGCCCGTGGGCCTGGTCTTGGCTGGCATTGGGCCGATGGGTGGGCCGAGTGTGGACCTCGACCCTAAAGAGCTACACCCTGTATGATGGCGCTCTTTTTGGGTCGGAGTTGCTATCGCATTAGGCAAAAGAACGAAAGGGGAGAATATGAAAAACGTGACAGTCACGCGGGGCAGCCGGGGCATCCGGTCGCGGGTAGTTTTGCGCGCCCGTCGCTGGGGACAGCACGCTCGGTTGGGGGCAAGGCTGACTGTGTGCGATGTGATAGGAGCCTCAAAAGCCCCCGTCGACAACTCCGTATCGAGTGAACGAATCATTCGACTGAAACATATGCTGAGGGTTTGGCC